AAAATATTAGGTATTAATGTAGTTTTTATGATACAGGTTTAATATTTTCTTTTTTAACGGAATTCTTTAAATTTTTGTTATTTACTCGTTAATCTGAATTTATGGACAATATTTTGAATAAAAAAATCATAGAATGAGTTATCACTGTCAAGAATGCGTTTAGAAATTTAATAAAATTTTATTGGTCTTACTTTAAAATTATCTTTTTATGAACCTATTTAAAATATGATCAACAAGTTTATGATGGAGTATGCTATGTATGATGACAGGTAAGCAATTCTTATTAGAAATTATATTTGAACTGTCATTATCAAAGCCTACTTAGCCATGTAACTTTTTGATCGCACAATAGTAGAAATAGAAATAAATAGAAACTGTATATTAATTAGCTGCTAGGTAGAGGTTTTACAGGGTGTTTCAAAAAATATTGCCACATGTGCCACATCTCTCGTAGGCAGATTCCTCGCGTAAAAATAAGATTTATTTTTTATATCTACAGGGGGTTAGTCTTATTTCATTTTCCATTTATTATAATTTTCTTTCAAGTGCTTACGTGAGGTATTTTCCCACGAGAGTAGGCACATGTTTTTTTAAACACCCTGTAAATTATATTTTTATATACAGGGTCGCTTTTATGTATGGAAACGGTCGATTATTAGGTAAAGTATAGGAGGTACCGCAAAAAGTTAAATACAAAAGTTATAGGATTTTTAAGTATCTATTAGCGAGTAATAAATCTAAGTGTACAGGATGGGTCATTAAGTCGTGGCACATAAAAGTGTTATTTTTTAAACGGAACTCCCTGTAGATTATTGCATATTTCAGTTCTTCCTTCAATTCTAAGCAAAAATCGAAATACACACAATGTACCTCAAACCAACCGTTTCCGAATTATTGACTTTTGAAAATATGACTTAAACAATTTGATTTAATTAATTTCGATGTGTTCAGTTTCATTTAACGATGCCATTCTGCCGAAACTGCGATACTTAATAATATTTAACATTAGTTCTCAAGTTAGCATTTATAGATGTATAAAATGAGATTATATCAAGTCTGGAAATTACAAAATTTTCGTTTAACATTTCAATTCTTCAATTTATATTATGTATTACGATTATTGCTTAAAACTGAAGGAAGATTAATTGAAATATGCAATAATACACAGGGGATTTCATTTAAAAAAAATAAAGTTTGATGGGCCACAACTTTATGACCGACCCTGTATACTTAAATTTACTAGTAGCTAATAGGCATTTAAAGACCCATTACAACAGTATCACAGTTTCGGCAGAATGACATCATTAAATGAAACTGAACATATCGAAATTAATTAAATCAAATTGTTTAAGTGATATGTTGAAAAGTCAATACCTCGGAAACGGTTGGTTTGAGGTACATTGTGTGTATTTCGATTTTTCTTTAGAATTGAAGGAAGAACTGAAATATGCAATAACATACAGGAGGTTCTATTTAAAAAAATGAAACTTTGATGTGCCACAACTTTATGACCAACCCTGTATACATAAATTTATTACTCGCCAATAGACATTTAAAACCCCTATAATTTTTGTATTTAACTTTTTGCGGTACCTTGTATATTTTACCTAATAGTCGACAGTTTCCACACAACAGAGACCCTGTATAAAATTTATGAACAGTGTAACAACAACCATGAAACCATAAGATATCAGTACGGCTCTAATTCTTTTTGACTCAGTAAATACAAGGTTGTAAAAAAATTCACCCACCGATCCCGACTCAGGTCTCCATCCACCAAAGCGAACCAGTCTTCGAAACGACCTCACACAAGACGAGACAGACATAAATACAAACTCATACACGAGATACTAGGGATGTTGATATTCAAAAAAATATCGATATTAAAAAATACATTTTTGAAATGAATAAAACCCATCCGTTCACCGTTGAATAAAAAGACTAAGGAACTAGTATATGAACAAAATTGGGCAAACTTCGGAGGGAAATCAATGGCGTTCTATTTTTTTAACATATTTAAAATAGCGTGGATTCAATTATTTGCTTGTTTTATTTTAATATATTTAATATCTATACGGGGTGGCTCCACTCATATGACGCGGAGACTCCAAGGAAAAAGACAGTTTGTATTGAAACGAAATTGTGTGAACGTATGTAGGTTAATTTAGAGCATTTTTTAAAAACATAGAGACAGGGTGTTTATTATTTGATAAAATCTAGGTGGCTGTGATATGTCTGACGTTACTTCAACATGCTCTCAAATTAGTTCAACTAGTTATCATTTTGTGTCAACAAAAAAAAATCTCAGAAATTCGCAGAAAGTGGAAATATGCTACATCAGAAAAAATTATATGATGCAGTGTGCAGTGTGCATTTACCAATTAATATAAACAATAGTTGGAGTTTTATAAATACAGGGTGGTCCGAACTGTATTCCGGAAACTTCGGCAGCATATTCTGCAGATACAAATAAGTAAAAAAGTTCGTATAAATGTATGTCCTAAAATGTTTAGTTTCAGAGATAGAGGGTGTAGAAGTTTCATTTTTATTTCGATTTTTTCCGAATAATTTCTGAAGTCAATATTTGGATCAAAATTGGTGTCTAGGAGTTTTTTGATATGAGAAATTTGATTTTGATGTCAAAATGACTCCTACTAGTAGAGAGCGCCACCAACATCTATTTTAACAGTTTTGAAGCCTAATAACTTTTTGTCCGTACCTGTATAAAACTAATGAGGAAAACAATATACATCTCTGTGACTCTTTACATCAAAAATATATCTTTGTAAAAATCGCTACGAGCAACCGTTCTCAAGAACATATTTAGAATGGAAATAGTCAGTACATGTCATTATTGACGAAAAATAAAGACGTTAAGTAGATGGTTATTTCAATGAAATAATAAATTTGGGAAATTTTTATTTCTTTTTAAATTAATCATAAATTTTTCTTTGAAAAAATGATGATAAAACAGTTTCTGTTTGACTTTTGGCACAAAACCATTTCAAATTTATGATTTTCGTCTAATAACTAGTTTAATTTATGTCAATGATGACAGGTATGGATAATTTCGATTCCAAATATCTCGAAAACCACTACTCGTAGCAATTTTTACCAAGAGACCTTTTTTACATAAAAAACATCGGGTAAATGTATATTTTTTTACTCAGTAGTTTTATACCGGTACGGACGAAAAGTTATTACTCTTCAAACAAGTTAAAAAATATGTAGGTGGCGCCCTCTATCAGTAGGAGTCATATTGACATCAAAATCAAATTTCTCATGTCAAAAAACTCCCAGACACCAATTTTCATCCAAATATTGACGTTACTTCAGAAATTATATGGAAAAAATCGAAATAAAAATGAAACTTCAACACCCTGTATCTCCGAAACTAAGCATTTTAGAGCATACATTTATAGGAACTTTTTTACTTATTTCTATCTGCAGAATATGCTGACGAAGTTTCTGTAATACAGTTCGGACCACCCTGTACATACTGTTCTGTAACATATCCCCATTAAAAAACAGACTAGATAAATCAGGAGTATTTAAGCATTCTATTAATTGGTGAATACAGTCACCAATTAGAGAATGCTTAAATGCTGTTGATTTATTTAGTCTGAATGTTTTCATGGGGATATGGTTAAAGACAGTATTGACAAAACTCAACCAACTATTGTCGACAACGTGAAAGAAATGATTGTAGCTGATTTTCAAAGTATAACTCCACATGCTCCTCTTAACATGAACAGATCTTTTGAAAAGAGAATCGTTGTATGCAGTGAACAGGAATGGGAGCATTCTCGGGAGCATTTTAAGCATTTGATTTCATCTAGTTAATTTTTGTCACATAATTATAGGTTTATATCTAGTTTTAATTCTGTAATAATTAAAATATGTTTTAAACGTGTATCTTTTTATTACCTTTGAATATTTTACTCTACATCCTATAATTTTTGTTCAGTTAACAAAAAGTATATCACAGTCACCGTAGATTTTGTTAAATAATAAAGATCTACTGGCGCAAAATCATAAAAATTAAAATCTCTAGGAAAATATTTGTCTAAGGGGTAAGCAACCTTAATAGTATTTTATAGAGATATAAATTCTCCATTGAATGTCGGTATAATATACTGGGTCTTCATTGAAAAAGTCAAAAGTGACCAATATTCAATATTAATTTTGTCTCACTCTGTATAACTTTTCGGGTCAAATGTTAATTTGGTTTAACATACTATGGTTATTAATACATTAAGTAAATCATTACAAAAAAAACAACTTTGATGTGTAACTTTTTTGGGGACACCCTGTAGAACTCTATATATTTTTATAAATGCCTTTCATTAACCTACATATTAAGGTTGATTCTCACTATACCTTCCGTTTCCATTCCATATCCGTTCCGTATTTTTTATTGTATTGACGCTATACGTAAGCTTCCGTTCCGTATCAGTTCCATACTTTTTATGGTACAAATATACCATTACGAAAGTTTTATTTTAAATATGTGTATCTTTTAAAAAACGTAATAGATTTAATTACGAGGTTAAAGAATAAATAAAATCAGCAAAATGTTAACAGAGCTGGTACAAATGTAAGAACTTGACAACGCTGTTTCCGATATGCTTCAGTCCGTCCGCCAAAAAAATGTATTGTATGTAAATGAAGGAAAGGATATGGAACGGAAGGGAAACGGAACGGATAGTGTGCATTGGCCTATTCATTTACATGTTATAATATTTTATGTAAACGGAAGGGAGCTGATATGGAAGGTATATTGAGAATCAACCTTTATGCTCCCAAAATTTCATTTCAATATAAACTACTGTTCTCCTTGGAGCCTTCGCGTCGTATGAGAGGCGCCACCGTGTATTTTGTAAAAAGCATATCGATATATTTAGACAGATCGATACGTTTTCTACATCCCTAAGAGATAAGTAGCAAGGTGGTAGTACCGAAACTGTGTGTAAGAACCTGCCTTTCCTTGTTTTCAGCGGGGCAGGCGCTCTAAATGCCTCTACTTCTTCTCCTCGGTACTAATACGATGCTTGTTTTCACCAAAGGTTCGTCACACAGCGACAAGGATGCGGACTCGAACACGCCGGAGAAGAGCGCGCGCGCCCCCGAGCGCAAGCGCAAACGGAAAGCGGACGACGCGGGCGGCGGACTCGCGGGGGGCGGCGGAGCGCCGAAGGGCGGCGGGCGTCCCGCGCTCCCGTCGTCCGACAAGAAAATCAACGAGTACTTCAAGCATTCGGGCAGCAGTCCGATCAGGCACGGGGGCGCCAAGAGCCCCAGTCCGCAACAGCCCTATCCTATGGTAAGTCAATCGTTTAGAATTTAGGTTAGTTATATGCACTTTTTGAGTCGCACCTCAGATATGCCCTTCCATTCTGGGCTGCGTGTTGTGCGACTCAATTTGACCGCATTTTCAAGCTCCAGAAGAGAGTTGTTCGATATTCACTGGGACTAAACAGCAGGACTCATTGCCAGGACTTTTTTAAAAAATTAAAAATATTAACTCCTCCTTCCATATTTACATTTGAATCCGTTTGCCTGTAAGCATGTATCAGCTTCTCAAGGAAGGCCGTCTCACACTTATCTACTCATTAACGCGGAGCAAGATCTTTATCTACCTACCCCACGCTCAGAGTTAGTTAAAAGTTCAATATTATACAACTCGAAAAAAATGCACAATCATCTGCCATTTGAAATCAAATCCATAACATAATTTTCTTCATTTCGCAAAGCATTGAAATCTTATTTACTAGACAAGGCTTTCTACGCCGAAAATTACTTTTATTTTGATAATCGAATTTGATCTTGTAAACAGTGGTCTAATATTTCCTATTTACTATAAACTTTCAAAATATTTTTGAATCTTATTTTTTTTTATTCTTTGACATTGTAAACATTTATAAATGTATATTTTAAGCAATAAGACTGACAAAGTAATATGTATACTTGTTTTGTATTCTCTTTTGTTTGTTTGTTTGTTTAACTTTACCTTTGTCTACAAATTGTAAATTTTTTTGAAAATAATGGCATTTATTTATAGTCATATACCGGATGTTTTTCAAAAAGTAGCACACCCCTATTACCTTTTTATTTGTATAAGACGTAAATCAGGATTGATTGACGTAATCAATTAGTTTCGGTCACTTCCTGTTTCACCGGAAATGACTAAAACTTTTGATTTTTAAAAAGTGTATTTTTTTACTTTAATTGATAGAAAATGATGTTAAATTTATTTTTCCAAGTGTCATTGATCTTAAATTAATCATTTTAATACAACGATCGCATTCTACATTTAAATTGAAAATGTCAAAAGTTGACATATGATATGTCATTCTATTCGAGTATCATTTTCTATCGAATAAAGTAAAAAAATGTCCAGGGTACAATTTAAAAATCAAAAGTTATAGTCATTTCGGGTGAAACAGGATGTTCCAAATTGATAAAAATGCTACAGTTCTGTATTATGACCAAAAAAATAAAATATATTTTTATAAATGGACCAAGATATAGAAAAGGAACCACCAGCCAAATCTTCAATACGAATTATTGTAATAATTTTTAAATTCTTTGTAATTATTTTCTTTTTACTTTTTGCATACTTTAATATTTATTAAACCGGATCATAAGGAAAAATAGTTTTTAGCCGTTTGTGGTAGCAGGTGGTTTCTTTTTCTATATCTCTGTCCAAATCTGAGTTATAGCGGGGACTGTAGATTAGTTGTAGGTATTCATTGATCATTGAGAATTGTCCGTATTAATGGCGTTGTTATTTTTAGTTACCCCCTTCCCCGCAACAAGTCGGCCTACCCTCACCGGTGACGACGGGTCCTTTCGAATTTCTTCCAGCTACCCGACAACCTCACCAGAGGTTACCTTCACTCTCAATGGTTCACAAACTTATACAGGTAAGCTTTTTTTATTGCTATAATATAATAAAACTGCAGTTACCTGCTCTCTTTAATATCATCTTATTAGTAGCAGGACAATGTAAAAATTTATTTCTTAAAATTAGACAGTTAAAACATGACCAAAGACGTGTACGTATCGTTTGACATGTAGGCTTGCGCAGTGAAACATTTATTTAAGGATACGTCATTCGTATCTTTGCGTATCTTTACGTAAGTGCAAAACGCAAACGTATCGCGCCGAAGGAGTTTCGATTTCACCCGATTGATACAAGTGTTGTACTACTCATAGCAATGATGCCAAACCACTACTTACTAAACTGTGTGCCAAAAGGGATTCCTTGGGTGAGTTTCCGTTGAATTATGAAGGGTTTTAAATAAAAGCACTTTTAGTTTTTAAAATATCAAAATGAATCCTAATATTTCTCACAGTTTTGAATAGGACGTGATTAGGATTTCCAAACCGGAATCCCACAATCTCAGTGTATAATTTATTATTTTAAATTTAAATGTCCAATCTAAAATGATTCAACTTTATACACTAATTTAGTCTTTCACAGATCATATTTCTCTTTGATATATCTTTTACTATGCTCTCTAGAACAGCGTGCGGCCCGTCTGACTGCCGGTAAACATTGCGTTCCCTACTGCGCATTGAAAGAAGATTCTTTATTTTTATTAGCCCTTTAAATTCTAGTATTGAATATAAATGGAACATGCCTCCATAGCGCTTTGGACAAAGACTTTTTTATTTTATTTTCGTTTATATTCTGATAGTAAAGTATTAAATATTTGTTTTTTTTAATCACCAGATTTATTTAATACTTTACTATCAGAATATAAACGAAAATAAAGTAAAAAAGTCTTTGCCCTGACCCGGATTCGAACTCTGAATCATCGGTTCGTGGTCGGAAACTCTACGCACTGCGCTATGGAGACATGTTCGATTTATATTCAATACTAGAATTTATAGGACTAAATTAATAAGAAATATAGGATCTTCTTCCGATGCGCAGTAGTGAACGCAACGGGTATCGGCAGCCACACGGGCCGCATGCTGTTCCAGAGAGCATAGTAAAACATATATCAAAGAGCCAGACGTCTTAAAATACTTTCTCGAAAACGTTGCTAGCTCTTAGAGTATAAGCAGAACATCAATATCTAAAAGTTATATTTCCGTGTTTCCTATATTTTTTTGCAACAAAAATTGTACTTTTTTTTCTTACTAAATATGAATGTTGTTTTTGATATATGTAGCCGCATTTTTATTAAGTATTTTTTTGGATTAAATTTCTCGTTCTGATAGTCAATTATAGATTCTTATTCTGGTATTTTAAAACGGGATCCCGATCCCGAAAATTGGAAACTTTAGATGTAATCCTATAAAGATATCTACTACGAAATAAATATTTCTTAATAGTATATGTTTAATCTAATAATTAATCTGTAGTATTTTTTTAACAATGAATAATTTTTTTAACTCACACGTATAAAACTTTGTTACACTCTAGGGTTCTAACCCTCAACTATAATCATAAATAGATTAAAATAGATTTACATTTTGAATATAATGGAATACAGGTATACAGGATGAATCAACTATTACTTAAATTAGTTTACAATGCAGTATTGACATTGTGTTTATTGATATACCGTGCAATTGAAAAATATTTACATATAAAATGCTGCCTTCAACTTGCTACAACTTGTATGGCATGCTTCTATTCTTTTAATTCTTTTATTGCCATACAACTTGTATGGCATGCTTCTATTCTTATTATTCTTTTAATGCCAAAAGAAAATTAATATAAATTTACTATTTATATTTTAACTTATTTTGTTCAAATGTTCATCTTCTTTAAACTGCGAAAGTAAATTTTTTTGAATAATAATAAAGAAAATACGCAACTAAATAACTTAACTAACACAAAATTAGTATAATATATAAAAAAATCATCATTACTGCCTTCATTATAAGCTAATGATGATAATAAAATATATTAAAAACATTGCAAAAAAACAGCTTACAGGAAAACTTATGTTTTTGAAAAACTCTAAAAGTTAAAAAAATGCAAAATTCCAACAATGATAAATACATCCAACCTACATTTTTGACTTTACCACTTTTTTGCTTTTATATAGGGCGTTTCAAACAACATGTGCCATATCTCGTGGGTAGATTCCTCACGTAAAAATAAGATTTATTTTTCATATCAACATAGGCTAATTCTGCTTTGTTTCGTCGCTACAGGGTCTTAATAATCTGTCGATTTATTATAATTTTCTTCCAAGTACTTTTAGTAATTCGAATGAAATTTTGAGGGTAAAAGTTACTATAAATGGTATATATTTTAATGCTAAAAAGATATCGATAAATTCATCAGGGACGTGCATATGGGTTATCACTTTAATATTTTTCAAAAAAAAAACTTGTGCGCCACTGCCTTTTTTTCTTTTGATATCAAAATTGTGTAGACCGTTTAAAGCCAATTTTATTAATCACAATTAATTATTAAAATAAAAATAGAACTAATAAATTATATATTTTACCTAATTTATTATTAAATATTATTACACGAAGAAAATTATAATAAATCGAAAAAATATTATGACTTTAACACCCTTTAACTACGAAACAAAGCAGAATCGGACCTATGTTGATAGGAAAAATAAATCTTATTTTTACATGAGGATCTCCCAACTGTGAGATGGCACATGTTTTTTGAAACACCCTGTAGCAACTAGTAAACAATTAGTAAAAGCTATACAGAGTGAGTCTTAAATAAGTGCAAATATTTTCAGAGGTGGTATATTTCGACCCCAGAAACAGAAACAGGTCTATGAAGTTTTTTTGCTAAAAAAAAGATGTGGAAAATCGTGCAGTTTCTTTTAAATTTCTCTGTATTTTTTCGAAAACTTTTTAGAATTGCCTGTTCACCTCAAATGTTCCCACGGTATAATTTCTTAATCTCTGATATTACCATAGTTACGACTTTACTCTATGGTTACGGCCAAGAACGGTAAACTAATAGGATTGCTCATCCTCATAAGACGTACGTTCGCCTCTTCCCGCGCTTCAGCTGACAGTTGTGACGTCATTGTAGTCCTTGTCATGATAGTGTGTATTATTAGTTGCCTATGGTAAACTTATAAAAATAACAGCTGCGAAATTTTGAGTTAATTATTTAGTCAATTTTAAATGCGAAAAAGATGTTTTAAAGTCTTTAGAGCTATAGAGTGTACATATGCGTTCATTTTGTGTTGTGGATTGTGACAAAGTGCTTACTAAGTGCCTACGATATTGTTTATTAATTATTTTAAAGCAAAATATGGAAGTACTCTAAAAAGAATGCCTGCAAAAGGTGATGCTGGGAACTGCTGTTTTTAAAAATGCATTATCCGAGTATTTAATACGTTTTATACAGTTAATTTTCTATACTGCACACATATAAGGTGTTTAAATAAATAAACTAAATAATGAACGTTTTGCATCCGGCAACCAATAATGCACGTGTGTGTATTATTGGCTGCCGGATAAGGACTAATAACCATGACAAGGACTACAATGACGTCACAAAGCGAGGAGTTTTCGCATGCACCTGGCGGACACTTTTGGCTGAATGAGCAGTCCTATTAAGTTAACTGTTCTTGGGTTACGGAAATAAAAGGGATGCAAATACAGAAAAAATCCGTTGTTTCCCAAATTTTTTTCAAAAAAAAATATTTTTTTTTAATTTTTAACCTTAAATAACTCGACAATTTTGGACTTATTCGAAAAATGGTAAAGAGAAAATATGTTTCTTTTATCGATATCTACCAGCCCTGAAAATATTTGCACTTATTTAAGACTCGCCCTGTATAGCAGTGTACTTCCAAATATTTTGAAATCGTGTGTTTATATTTACAGATATTTTCCTAAATGGTGTTTGATTTACGGCTTAAACCCACCGATTCCACATTTTATTCAATGTTATTACTGGTCGCAGCTGCGTTTCTCTAATAACATTGAATCAAATGCTGGTCGCTGCGACATGGTCGTCAGTGTGTTTGAGCCCTTAAACATCATCATTGTGTTACATAATCGTTGATTTGTTTTATATAACTAGGACAACTAGGAAAAAAATCGAAAAAATATAATAAAATATTTATTTCAATATCTATCATACCGTGTGCTTTTGTAACACTCTTTCCTTTCTTTTTATGATTGTCTCAATTTTTTTTCTGTTGAATTTTTGAAAAAGTTGAATTACATTTAATTTATTTTATAAAAATGAACTCCCACTCACACTACTATCTTTTTTAAAACATCCAACTATAACTCCTGCACCAGTAACAAATATTTACATAGTTATTATATTTAGTTTAGTAGGCGGAATAAACACAACTCTCCGATCTAATACAATTTTAAACCTTCATGTTAATTCTATTTTTATTCTACGCTTCATTTTTTCTATTATCTGTCCTGAGTAACTACACCAAGTATCTCGTGTTAAAAGTTTACTAGTGAGTCTAATGATTAGATTTAAAGGAAATTACATTATTTTTTAAATTCTATTTTTATTCATTAGTGGTAAACAGAAGTTTGTGGATAGTCATTAATAAGTCATCGTTTTTTTCTTTGTAAATATGAAATATATTATTATACAGGGTGTTTCAAAACAAATGCGACAAACTTCAGGAGGTGATTCTTTGTTCAAAATAAAGGGTAGTTTGCTTCATAAACGTTGGGTCCAAAGTCAACCATTAGGGAGATATTGCGGTACATAGATGGCGGAAAAATAATGTTTTTATTTTTTATCTTGAAAACGAAAAGAGATAGACTAATAAAATTTTATGGAAGCATTACTGTTATGAAAACACACTTTCTGGTAATTTTTTCACTTTTTTAAAATGAGTGGAAGGGGTTTAAATAAACTACCCCTATCATTCTTGTTAACGAAATTTAAAGAAAAATCTTATCAAACACATTACCGTTTTTGAAATATTTTCAATTTTGTGAAATTGCAGTAAAAATTTTAAAGCTTCATTTCTCCAAGGTATCATTGTTTTTAATACTAAATATTTAATGAAGTTTATTTATTGATCAGTTATTGTGTTGCAATAATAAAAATAATACTACCTTATACAGAGTGTCTAAAAATTTATTTTAAGTAATTATTAGCTTCAAACGGCAATAACTTCTTTAATTTAAATGGAATGCCCTGTATATTTTAGGAGAATCAGATGCACAATTAAATTGTCTATCAAATTGTATTATACCGTTTTTTACCTATCCCTTCAAGTTTTCGTAGAAAATGCATTTTCTTTTAATTTAGACCTCATTTATCAATATATCCATGGAATATTGACATTTTAGATTGTTTTTAAAGCAACAAATGTACAAAATGTACAGACTAGTAATATTACCGTTTTTAGCAAAACGATAATATTACTAGTCCATTTGTATGCAAAAAGAAAACTATTTAAATCTTTATAAAATTTTACCATTAATTAAATATAACACCATTATTTCCGCCCATATACTAATTAATTACATACTTAATTGTGTTCGTTAATAAATTATTATAAATAAATGTGGATTTGAGTTAGAAATCAATATAATAATAAGTTATCAAATTAAAGTCTCTGTTGTTATAAATAAGCATTTATTAAAAAATGAAATATCATTTTTAAGGTGTTACTTTTTATCACACTGTCTAATGCCCATCAAAATTCAGTTTTTTAGTATTTGGAGCAATTATTATTAATCAACGCAAACAGTCAGTTAATGTAGTTTGAATACGGCATCATATTAATTGGTCCTCTTTAACAAATATTTAAACAGTTTTTTTTTTATTTTTTAATGAAATAAACGAATTATATCGACAATATTAGTATCTGTACTCTTTAAAAATTTGGTACATCTTTAAAAATGACCTAAAATGTCAATAGTCCATGGGTATATTGATAAATAAGTTCTAAATTACAAGAAAATGCATTTTCTACGGAAACTTAAAGAGATAGGTAAAAAATGGTTTAATATAATTTGATAGACAATTAAATTGTGCATCTGATTCTAGTAAAATATACAGGGTGTTCCATTTAAATTAAACAAGTTATTGCCGTTTGAAGCTAATAATTATTTAAAATAAATTTTTAGACACTCTGTATAAGGTAGTATTATTTTTATTATTGCAACACAATAACTGATCAGTAAATAAACTACAGTAAATATTTAGTATTAAAAACTTTGATACCCTTGGAGAAATGAAGCCTTAAAATTTTTACTGCAATTTCAAAAAATTAAAAATATCTCAAAAACGGTTTGAGTATAATAAATCGTAATCAAATTTACCTTTATCTTAATCGTAGAAACTAAAAATGTAATAATATACAGGGTGTTCCATTTAAAAAATACAACTTTGATATTTTTTACTTATTTAGGACACTCTGTATCTTGTAAAATTATTTTTAAATTGTACCTCTAATAGTCCTTCATCGAACCCAAAACTTAGAATTTGTAAAAATATCATCGTTTAGCTACAATACTCCGTGTCGTATGTGGTGAACAACCCTGTATAGTGGGTTTTAAATTAATATTGCACGGAGTATGGAACAAACTCAGTCATCTCTCCTCAAGTCCAAAAATCCTTTATGGGTATTTCGCCACTACACTGCAAGAAAATCTACAAAATAAAATAGTTATTTTTTTGCAAACACTTCTGCGTTAAACCTAAACGGACACTGCTTGTCAGAAGTTATGTTTACAGTTATACAAATTTGCCTAACAAAGAAAAAAATGCTTAACGTTTCGGAAAGTTTATCTCTTTCCGTCGTCGGAAGCAAAAAAAAATACAAAAAATAAAAAAGAAAACTATTTAAAATATTTAAATTCAACTATTCGAGAACACTTAAATATTTTTTTTAATAGTTGAATTTTAATATTTTAAATAGTTTTTTCTTTATGCTTTGTATTTTTTTTTGCTTCCGACGACGAAATGAGATAAACTTTCCGAAACGTTAAGCATTTTTTTCTTTGTTAGGCAAATTTGTATAACTGTAAACATAACTTCTGACAAAACAGTGTCCGTCTGGGCTTAACGCAGAAGCGTTTACAAAAAATAACTATTTTATTTTGTAGATTTTCTTGCAGTGCAGGGGCGAAATATTACAGTTGAGGGTTGAAACCTTTGGTGTTACACAGCAAAATAAAAACACTAAATCACCACAATACACCAAAACACTTTTACTTCTACACTGGACGCGCGTTTCGCTAACCATGTTAGCATCATCAGCAGATGATTATAAACTAAAGTACAATCTACAAGTTGAGCGTTTATATACTCGCTCAGTGGGCACCGAGTGGGCGTGGCAAAATCTAGCCAAGCGAGTCAGAGCCCACTGAGCGTAACAGTTAGATTTCCGCCACTAGAGTAGTAGGAACGAAGAACTTGAAGGAATTGTCTTTGTTGTTACTATCTGTCTCTGTTCATACTATCTTTACATTTATTAATTCTGATGCTTTCATATGCATCTAATTGCCTGTAATTTGAGACTTGTTTAATTAATTTTAAATTATTAAGATCCATACAATGTTCTTTATCAACAATATGTTCGGCAACGCAAGATTTATCCGGTCTACCATATCTTATCTGAGCTAAATGTTCTTTAAATCTAGTTAATATTGATCTTCTAGTTTGCCCAACATATTTCTGATTACAATCTTTACAAGAAATTTCATAAATACCCGACCTTTCCAGTGGAGGTGTTTTATCCTTTGGATTACTTAATAATTGTTGTAATTTATTATTAGCACTATACACAAGTTTATAATTGACATTCTTAAAAATTCCTTTTAGACCACGGGATAATTATCTATCAAACGGTATCGAAAAATATTTAGAAGTATCTTTCTCCACTTGAAAAGTCGAATTTTCAGAAATCATTAACCTATATCTACGTTTTCTAATTAAATACGAATATACGAAATATAGGCGAAATGTCCATAAAGAATTTTTTTGAGAGATAAATCCGCCACATAGGTATAGACATTTTTTAAGGAAAAGTTGGTCCCACCACATCCAAAGAGCCAACGCGACGGTTAGGTTAGGTTAGGCTACTTGGACTACTACTTGGTATAGCTACTTGGACTTGGGTCTATCTAGTTTATGTTCAGTTTATGTAACCAAATCTATGGCATACTAGTTAAAATAATTATGATAGCTTCAATATTTGTCTTAAAATTTTTAAGTTATCTTTTTCTTTTGCAGACTGAATTAACGTGTCATCGAATAAAAGAGTTCGAGACACAGGCGTCCTCCGACCTGGAAGTACGCAACAACAAGATCGAAGAATTGACGCGGACGAGCGAAGAGCTGCGGCATCAGATCTCCACGCAACAAAAAGCCATCGATCAGCACAAACAGCAAGTGAACAAATGTATAGAAGTGGTAAAAAAGTTGCTGAAAGAGAAGAGTTCGATCGAGAAGAAGGAGGCGCGTCAGAAATGTATGCAAAATCGGTTGAGGTTAGGGCAGTTTGTGACGCAAAGGGTGGGGGCGACATTTCAGGAGAATTGGACTGATGGACACGCGTTCCAGGAACTAGCGAGGTATGTTGTAGCATTCTGAAATTGTATCATCAAAGGTAATTCGTTCAGAATGCATTTAGAAACGACAGCGTCTGTATTATTTACCTATACCTATATTCTACCGTTGATTGAAGAAATAAGAAGATGCGCAACCTTATGGGCGATTTCGTGGCACAAAACATGTGCTGGTGCGAGATGTAGCTGGCGTTACCATCAGCCTGTCTGAGATTTAATGTAGTTCTGGACCCGTATTCTGTAACTTCGAAAACGCTAAGCGCTTTTAGACGCTCAGCGTATATGACGTTAATTTTCGCTGAGCGCGCACTTATTTAACGATTTCGGTATTCTCGTCTGACGCGCTTAACGTCTTTACTGATTGCGATGAGCGCTTTGAAAACGGTTGCCTTAAAGGATCGTTTTGCTTGTCGAACTGTCAGTGAAAATCGAAGAAATTGTGATTTTGTGCATTATCTTGCTCTTTAGTGAAAATTACTACTTCTTCTATAAATTCCTCAATAAAATGCTGAGAAGCGTCTTCAACACTTCCCTCGTATAATAAGAATATGACATATCCATAGAAAAATAGCTTGACATAACTCAACAATAGGTTATGAAATTAACGTAACATTGACATTTTTCATTGTTACATCCATCAGTTATCAACTTTTGACTATTACCTACATTAGAAATTGTGATGTTGCCAATATGTGCTCAACGTGTATCCTGAATACGATTCGCATGGCAACGAGTATACCAAAATCGACTGACTTGCGTTTCGCTGATCGAATACTTGTGCTCACCGCTTTGAAAGCGTAACGTTTTTATGTCAAAGTTACAGAATTCGGGCCCTGCGCCGCTGCGCACAGCGGATAAAGAATACTGTACCGTAGTTCTGCAGGTTCTGCTTTCAGTCGACAGAGTGAGTGGTTGCCGGAGACGGTGTTGCCAGAACTATGGATTAATCCGTAAATTTACAGATTTTGGGCGCAGTACGTTAATACGGATTTTCTATCATTAAACAATTTAATATAATATATGTATAATTCAACAAAGAACGGCGTCAGAGTTGATTTGGAAATAAAGATCGCTATGTGTGTTATATCATATGTAAAATCGAGGGTTGAGAACCCTAGGGTTCCAAGCGACATATTTTTTCAAAATTCACTTTTTTGCAAATGATTAACTTTAATTTGCTGTAAAAAACCTTTTTTTCTTTTATAAAATTACAAAAATTTCCAAATTTTACTATTGCTTTTTTTACACCAGATTTCTTTTTTTAATAGAACCATAGAGTTTCAAGTACAGCGCTTACAGTGCCACAAGGTTCCAAATACAGTAACAGCGTTTTTCAGAAAAAAAAAAACGAAAAAATTCATAATTGTTAAGTTTTTTACAGCAGCTTTTGGGGTATTTTTATAGACAAGTCCCTATACAAGTTCCCAAATTATTTTAATTCGATTTTTGTTGTCATAATGAATTTTTCAAGTATCAAACTTTAAAATTTTCAAAAATTTTTCTAAAAAAAATCAAAATGTCGCTTGGAACCCCCTCAGCTCTCGAAATATTATGGTAATCGTCATTTCCGAGCCAACTAAACGACTTTTTTCGATCATACGAAAAATTGAGTACCTATAAAAGAATTTTTATTTTTGTTTATTCTATGTTTAAGGCGAATACATTTTCAATACATAAACGCCGATTTTTCATCGAAAGATATTTTCGACTAACGTATTACAGATATTAGACTTTTTTATATGGCAGCAATGTCGCTTCCAGTTTCATACCGTCTTCGATATGTCTTCGCTGGCCGAATTAGAGAGAATAAGTGTTCTATGAGTTAGTTGCAGAACGATTGGTAGCTCCACTTGATGTAGGGAGAAATAAAATTAGCATTGTCACGAATTTGCCCATTAGGTTGCGTATCTTTGTTTTTACGGTTTTCCTGTTTCTTTTCTCTGAGAGTGCGTGTTGTAGTTACTGAACGTATGACTAGTATATTTAACAGTATATTATTGAACGAGCAATTTATGCTAGCCATTTTTCACGCAGGTTGAATAATGGCTATAAATTGTGAGTTGAATACTATACTTTGTCTACGGCCATTATAATAATTATGAGGAGTGTTTGAATTTGTATTTTTAATGTTAATTTTACTATTAATTGTATTCATGTTTTAGGGGAAAATGTCACTACCTACTTAAAATTTATCAATTTTAAACGTCAAAATTAACTAAAAGATAAAAAAAATGTCAATATCATCAGTTGCTATGCATCGAGAGTCGCAGTCATCTTGAACTATTCTATTTTCAAATATTTGGGAAGTTTATTATTAGATGTGTTTTACGACATACCTGTATATTAGTACTGTTTTCTACCACCTTTAGTAAAATAAATTTGTTGAAAAATGATAGATTGTACCACCAGCAGCTGACTTTTTGTTGTTTTGTGTAACTAAAGTTGGTAATTTGTGTTTTATTTATCGTTCTATATGTAGTTGAATTTTATTGGTGCTGCTTCAAGTTTTTTGCAATAAAACATACTTCTACCAACTTTAGTTGAATACAGTTGTTGGAGAACGATAAATTGGAGTACCAGCATCTGACTTTTTGTTGTTTTGTGTAACTAAAGTTGGTAGTTTGTGTTTTATTTAAAGTTATATACAGACATGTAATGATCCTTAGACTTTTGTGGTAGCAATCCAATACTTGTTAATTTGGCCGCCTCTGCTATCTCTGGTGGTGTTCAGTGCTCATTATCACTCTCATAATTCATTTTTTTTTAAAACGAGTTCTTGATATGCCACTTAATAAGCACTACCTACTTAACATTTGACAATTTTAAACGTCAAAATTAATAAAAAGAAAAGATAAGAAAACCGTCAAATCACCCACGCCGCGCATCGGGATGCTGTTATATTTCACTATATTACAAATATGGGCACCCCGTATTCCCTCAGCTAGGAAGTAGAATATTGATTTATTATTAAGTGGTCGTGGACAAAGATAATTATTAATTATACATATCTAACAAATATGAATATAAATTTACATATAACACAAGTTCTAATTGTAGGCGGCAAGAAGAGATCACTGCCGAACGGGAGGAGATCGACCGGCAAAAGAAGCTGCTGCTGAAGAGGCGGCCGTCGAGCAGCGAAGGGGGCGGCCGGAAACGGAACAACTCCGCGCTGCACAACGGCACGACGACGGACAGCGGCTTCCTCAAACCGGACACCGTGCCCGGCTCCTTAACGTTGCAGGAGTACTACGAAGCGGACGAGATCCTCAAGTTGAGGCAAAACGCGCTCAAGAAGGAAGACGCCGATCTGCAGCTCGAGATGGAGAAGTTGGAGAGGGAGAGGAATCTACATATTAGGTAAATCTCAATTAATTAAAAAAGTATTAGATGTAAGATTAACTTATAGCCCCTATAACTTTTTTATTTTTTCAGTTAAAAAAATTTGGTATGTTAGTATGTATAACATAAATTAGGATTGATTGACGTATTCAATTGTTTTCAGTCACTTCCTGTTTCACCGGAAATGACTACAAATATTTTGGTTTTTAAATGGCACCCTCGGTATTTTTTTATTTTATTCAATAGAAAATGACATTCTGCATAGAATGACATATCATATGTCAACTTTTGACATGCTAGCTTAATAAAAAATCGTATTTTAAAATTCAATCTAGAGTGCCATGGCTATGTTAAAAACACAATTCTTAATCAAGGAGCCTTGGAAAAAATAGATTTGATCTAATATTTTTAGTGTCTTGTCCTAGCCAGTTAGAAAATGCCCACATCGCATTTTTAATTATATCACACTTTTTTCAAATGGAACGAGGGTCACTCATTAGCGTATTTGGAAAAAGCATTTTTTTACGAATAATTTGATACCACACACTTGGTATTTCGAGTCAAATTTTGGTTACGAACCGCAAAATTTCAAATAAACCATATGCTCAAATGTCAAAAGTTGACATATTATATGTCATTCTATTCAGAGTGTTATTTTCTATCAAATAAAGTAAAAAAGTACAGAGGGTGCCATTTAAAAATCAAAAGTTGTAGTTATTTTCGGTGGACACAGGAAGTGACTGAAAACAATTGAATACTTCAATCAATCCTAATTTATGTCATAAATTATAGGGGTGAGCCACTTTTGAAACGCACCCGGTATAGGGGCTATAAGTTAATCTTACATCTAATACTTTTGAAAATCGCAGTTTTAACTACACAAAACGGAGATTTAAATTTCAAATTTGTTTTGAAAATTAAGATTAAAATTGAAAATGGCAAATGTCAAATGTCAAAGATTTGCAGAGATAAAATTCATGATAACTGGCAACATTTCCTGTGACTACCAATATAAAGCCTTTTTTTCAGGCAATTCGTTTACTTGATTCTATAGCGTACTATATTTTTTTAACCAGGATATAAATTTATAATAAAAAGGAACAAGTAGTCTCAAAGTTTCAAACAATACCAATTTTTATTCATTTCTCTATAACTGAAATTCAGTTACTTTTTTTCTAAGATTGATACTTTTATTTGCTGAATCTGAAGGGCAGTAGTTCATAATTGACTATGTATAAAATAGTGAAAAAATAATGTTTGTATTTGCTGAACACCAACACAAATATTCTTAAACAAATTATTAGTAATTCAATCATTGTCATAGCACAGATTAGGTATCCTATAAGTATACAGATAAAAATCTTGTCCCTAATTCGTGGTACGAAAATTGTTTTTTACGACGATGTGCAAACGAGTAAAATTTCCTGTGCGCAAAAATAAACTCGCGTAAAATAACAATAAACCACGTAATAGAGAGATATCGCTAAACCGAATAGCGTGCATGGACGTTAATAAGGCCAGGTGTTATTTCCTTTACGCGAGGTGGTATTAACTCTCTTCATTTATAGTTATCGGATCGGAAAGGATTCTGTTCGCGTCGCGTCCGCTATTCAAACTTAACCTAACTTTGAAATTGTTTTGTTTACTAGGTATTTTAAAACTAAAGGGCTTAAGTGCTTATTTCCAGTGCTTTATTGTTCAACGTCTGCCAGTGGGTTTAGGGCAACAAGCAACAAATTCTTTTAGAAGGGCCAAGTCGTCATCTGCTGTAAACCTCTTTATAGTTTTTTTAATATTGGAAGAGATGGAATCCACATTTTGGGCCATATTTATTTAATTAAAACTAATCCCAGCTGCTTAAATATCAAATTAAGTAATAAAACTAAAGTACTAATTCAAAACGATTCAAACATAACCTAAAATAAAAGATCTCGTCGGCCGGCCCCGGTTGTCAAATACCCGTACATGCCCATTTAAGCAATTTTTAAACGTTATTTAGAAATAGCGCTTGGTGTAATTGATCCGCAAATTACGTCAGGCGGTAACGTTATTAGCGGGTGGTGCGTTAAAAATTGACTCGCGCATATCGTAACCATGATAAGGTACGCGTAAATTAAACGTCATTCGGTTTTCCGATATCTCTCTAATAACTGTGCCGGTCAAGCGCTGTGCACAATTTTAGAGGCCATAAGTGGGCGTGCTCTGTGCGCAAACTAGTAACCTAACTAGTGCCCGATTCCGAAAATTGGAACCACGAAAAACAATGAAGAAAAAACAAAGTTTATAATTTGTATATTCTGTGGTCATAGTGTCAGCATTACCTAAATGAAATACTTTATGTTACATTATGCTTATTTTACCCGCAAATTATAACAATAATAAATAAATTAATATCAATAATAAATATATTTCTTTTTTTACAGGGAATTAAAACGTATTCACAACGAGGACCAATCTCGGTTCAACAATCACCCTGTACTAAACGATAGGTATCTTCTGCTGATGTTACTAGGTAAAGGTGGCTTCAGCGAGGTGCACAAAGCGTTCGACCTGCAAGAGCAACGGTACGTGGCTTGCAAAGTGCATCAGCTCAATAAAGACTGGAAGGAGGACAAGAAGGCGAACTATATCAAGTGAGTTTGGTAAAATCATAGTAGAGCAGAAACATTAAAGTTAAATGCTGTATCATTTTAATTAAATATCGTTCTTACTACACTCACCGGCAAAAAAACCGGCCACTAAAAACTAGCCCCAATTTCAAAGTTGGATTTCTCACGAACCACTCATTAGATTTTGATGATTTTTTTTAAATTGTAAATTAATTCCTTCTTAACGGATGCTACGTCAGCAATTTTTATTCTCAATTTATTTTGAGCATATACAGGGCACAACAATAAGACGAAGTTTTTTGTCCAAACTTTGTAACATCCTGTAGGGTGCAACAGCTGTGGTAGCTATTGCTAGATCAAATCACATTGTAGCCTCATCTTTTGTGAGAATTTTGTTTTTTTAATCACGGCATTATTCCTGTTTGTATTGGAGATACGCTACTTTAAAACAAACGCCTCGAAAAAGCTTTAAAAACAAATCAAACATCAGAACGTAGGTAAGTTTAACCTGAAAACTAACTAAAAAATGAAAATAAAAAAAAGGTAAAGAAATTTTAAGGGGCTAATATCTAGTGTCCACTCGCCTGGTGAAATTTCCCGTTTTTATATTCCGATTCCAGGCATCCTTGACTGTTGTTCGAAATATACCCAGGGTATCGGAGACATAACGTTGACTTCGGCCATCCTCAATAAAATTAAAGCCACAATACGAGCAACATCCGTTACAGATAATGGCATTTTTTAATTTGACAACCGTTTTTGTCATTTTGAAAATACTCATAAATCCGTTTTCACCTATGTCGCCTTGATTATTTACACATAAAACTTTCTGCCTGCGAAGCATTTTTCCGAGACGTTCGTTTTAAAACAGCATATCTCCAATACAAAAAGAGATAATGTGGTGATTAAAAAAATAAAATGCTCACAAAAGATAAGGCTACAATTGCTGTCCTCCATTCGCGAACTTCGAGTTCCGGGCTTTACGCCCTGGGGCTACTCGAGAACGGTTCTGAAAGGAGCGGTGCGCGATAGCCTGGTGCCTCCATATGGCGCGGAACAGTTCTGGAGCTTTATGACTCAATTGAATGGAGTGAGAGTATCGCGTTCTTGAACAGTTCAGAGCTGCTCAACTGCGTGAAAGGAGGACAGCAAATGTGATTTGCAATAGTTACTACCGCTGCTGCACCCTACAGGGTGTTACAAATTTCGGGCAAAAAACTTTGTCCTTTGCTGTGCCCTGTATATGCTTAAAATAAATTCGGAATAACAATTTCTGACGTAGCATCCGTTAAAAAGGAATTAATTTACAATTTAAAAAAAAATCATTAAAATCTAATGAGTGGTTCGCGAGAAATCCAACTTTGAAATTGGGTCTAGTTTTTAGTGGCCTGTTTTTTTTCCGCAGAGTTTATTAAAGTCCTTTCACTGGGAGAAGGGATAATTTCGACAGACAACATCAAAAATTGAGGAAAAAAAACAATTTACTGCAAATGCAATGACAGAGGACAACTATCACTGTTATATTTTTTCTCACTGATCAGACTGTAAACTTTCATGGTATGTTGTTAAAAATGATATTTCTTTAAAATGAGACAGTAATTGAAAATGGTGATGATAAACCTTGATCCAGAAGAACTATGATGGTCACCTGTTTCAAGACGGGACTGATATTATTTATAATTTAAAATTATAAAAAATATTCTATATAGTGTATAAGGTTAATTCAATGTTTTTTTTTATTTTTCAGACATGCTTTAAGGGAGTACAACATCCATAAGGCTTTGGATCATCCCCGCGTAGTTAAGTTATATGACGTGTTTGAAATAGACGCGAATTCGTTTTGTACAGTTTTAGAATACTGTGATGGCCATGACCTAGACTTTTATTTAAAGCAGGTAAGATTAAATTAATATTTACTTTATTATTACGAACAAAAAAATAGGAAATGTTTTTAACAGAAGCCCTATCCAGCAATGTTTACCTATGTAAACCTCTAATGAACCTATACAGATTGTTAACTTGACGGTTACTTATTGGGGAACAGAATAGCAACACTGCCTACATTCCAAATGAGTACTAAGCTAAGCTGCCGACTCGTCCCGTCGCGTCGTCTCTCGACGAGCGGGCCGAGGTTTTCAACCATAAAGCTCTTGCCGCGAGTAATAAACAAATTAACAACCTGTATAAACCATCTAAGCATATTAACAGCTATGGCATACTCTGTCAGGCGATAGAATATATAATTTCGACAGATGCCAACCAAAAATATAGCAGAAAAGCAATCTACTTCTGAATTAAATTGACAGATAACTTGTAACTAACGTTATGCTGATTTTTTATGTATTTTTTTCGTCTAATGTTTAAAGTACTTACCGCAGAATAAAATGTCGAGAGAAATTATGCGGTACAAATTTGGAAAGAACTGCAAAATTAAGTTGGAGAAAAATCATTTCATTTTTAGAAAATGATTGTTAAATATATACCGTGCTGGCAACTGTTACTTTTGGGTCGGTATTTACATGTGTGGAAGTAAATCGCATAGGGATCTTATTAAGTCGGAGTGAGAGAAATGCGACGGTGTGCTGTTGCGGCGTTGCGTAAGTAAAGTAAAATCACGATCGCAAATCGCTTATTTTAAACTTTTTTTCGAAAAGATAACTAGATCAAATCATTAGATATGTTTCTGAGCATCTGAAATGGAATTATAAGGATATCGTTAAGGTGTCCATTTTTTTATAACGAGAAAACGTCAGTAATCGCGATAATTTAAAAACTTAACTTTTTAACACATAACACGCCATAACTTAAGAACCACTTGAGATACTGAAACTTTTTTTTTATTTTGAAGATCGGATCTTTTACAATATGTTTAAATAAGAAAAAATCGATAAGGTTGTTTTTTCCATTCAAAAATTTTAAACAACCCATCCATTTACTTTTAGTGCATAGCAATTTTCAGTAATCGTGTAACTTTTTTAGTTATAAAGATTTTCACATATTGTCCCCGAAGAAAATATAGCAGAAATATTAAGAAAGTTTTTGAAAAACTACAATCAATTTATTTCTAATAGATTTCGAGATACCGATTTTTGAATTCAGAGTTCGATATAATAGCGCGACCACTGTCGAACACCAACTAAATTCCACTTATTATTACTAAAAATGCAAGTGTTTCTAACTTGCACGTAAAGATTTTCAAGATATAGGGAAAATTACAACAACTCGTTAATAAATAAACAAATAAAATATCACGAGACGTAATTAAATCGTGAAGCTGAACGCATGAGGCCACTCGACTACGACAAATCTGCTATATCCCTTTCGACGTCTCTTAGCAATAATATGTGCACAATTCTCGGTTTATTTCATGCGTTTGGCAACGTGTTTACTGTTCTCTCTTTGTTCGGTACATTATAAAAAGCATTGTACTCTTCTTACATACGGAAATCTCGACCCAAGACTAGCCTTTGCCAGCCCTTAGTATGTCAAAAACTTTACATTTTAGTCACGTCTTACTATTTGAAAAAATATAACTTTAATGTGTAACTATTTTTAGGACACCCTGTGTAACTCTGTATATTTTAGAAAAAAATTCTAATTAATCCGCATATGCTCCCAAACTTTTTTTAATACAAAGTAACGTTCCCGTTGGAGCCCTCACATCATATTAAGACGCCACCCAGCACCCTAAAGCTATAGTGAATGCATTTGTCAAATTTTCAGAATATTTTGTGATTAGAAATACAATTTTGATGTATCAGTAATATTCGACATATTGTTTGATTGTGAGTATTTTTGTTTGCAGCATAAGACAATACCAGAAAGGGAGGCACGATCCATAATAATGCAGGTAGTGTCAGCGCTCAAGTACCTGAACGAGATCAAACCGCCTGTGATTCACTACGACCTAAAGCCGGGCAACATCTTGCTGACGGAGGGCAACGTGTGCGGCGAAATCAAGATCACCGATTTCGGCCTCAGCAAGGTGATGGACGAGGAGAACTACAACCCCGACCACGGTATGGATCTTACGTCGCAGGGCGCAGGCACTTACTGGTAAGCAAATAATATAAATCTTATTTTCATTACATTAGGGTATTTTGAAAAAATTCTGACCTTACCTTAAGAAGAATAAGAATAAGAATAAGTGGGAGGGGGGTTAATCTCTTCGACCTTAGAGATCTATTGTGTCCCCCTTTCTTGAGTTATAACTCATCATACAGTCCCAGGACTTCCTACGGAGACCCGTGTCCCTCACAGTCGAGGAGCTACGACCCAGGCCGGGTAGACGAAACGGTAGCTTGTGTCGCCTGTTGGGTTTAGAGGTAGGAGGTAGGCTCCCGACCCTTAGAGGAGGTGGTAGTTTGTATGCCACTTGCGGAGGATGCCACTTGCGGAGGATGGTCTCACGCAAGTGTCAGCCACCTCTCCTGTAGTTCTCTTTGGGTTTGGCCCCTTGGAACTTTCATTGTTACTGTTCCCAGTGTCGCTAGGGGGTTTCTCACAGCTTCACCGGCGATGTTTTTATTACTATTATTACCAGATCTCATAGTGTTCCTATGAGTCGCTAGGGACAGTCGGTCCACTTCTACAGAGCTCCGCATGTAGAAGTAAGGGGTAAAATACAATGGGGTGCCCCCCGGTGCCCCAAGGTTGAGGCTGTCCGTAGCCCCGCCCGGTATCGTTATATGTCTTGGTGCAATTCCCTGGCCACGACACTACAGTCAGAGACAAGATGATGAGTGAGATGCTTCTTAGACCAAGTCAAGTGCTAGAGGGGATTCCCCCCAGCACCTGACCAGGAGCTTACCTGAACCCTTATGGGGTTTCTCGTTTAATAAGATGTGGTTTTCACATCACTTTTTTTATGAAACTAAAGATGCTACACGCAGATTCGTCATAGACCTTTTAGTTTCTGAAATACAAGGCGAATTTGAAAATGTTGCATTTCTTTCTACCTCCTTTGTATCTCGGTTATCTTATGACTTATCGAAAAAGTGAATACTAAGTTCCATAGAGTTTTTCCCGTAAATACAGGGCGGTCCGAGCTGTATTCCGGAAACTTCGACAGCAAATTCTGCAGATGAAAATATGTAAAAAAGTTTGTATAAATGTATGTCCTAAAATACTTAATTTCGGAGATACAGATAGTAGAAATTCCATTTTTATTTTGATTTTTTCCAAATAATTTCTGAAATAACGTCAATATTTAGATGAAAATTGGTGCTTGCGAGTTTTTTGACATGAGAAATTTGATTTTGATGTCAATTTGACTCCTATTTATAGGGGGCGCCACCCATTAAACATATATCGTGGTAAAAATCGCTACGAGCAACCGTTCTCAAGACGTTTAGAATAGAAATAGTCAATACATCATCATTATTGACAAAAAATAAACAATATCGAGTATAGATAGTTTATCTGATTGAAATGATAAATTTGGGAACTTTTTATTTTTTTTTAATTAATCATAAATTTTCCTATGAAAAAATAACGATAAAAAAGTTTCTGTTGAAGTTTTGACACAAATACATTTCAAATTTATGATTTCGGTCTATACAGGGTGTCCCAGAAATAAGTGGTAGTATTTTAAGGGGTGGTAGATCTCGATAAAAGAAACATATTTTCTCTTTATCGTTTTTCAATTGTCCAAAATGTCAAAAAGTCCAAAATAACGGAGTTACTTTACTTTGAAAATTTCCAAAAAAATGATTTTTTACTAAAATTTTGAGAACCACTGGATCTTTTCTGGATTTTCTTTCTTGTAAATTTAATCTAATACCTACATTGCCATGTTATCAATCCAAACAAATTATTTTTTACAGGTATCTCCCTCCTGAGTGCTTTGTAGTAGGAAAGACTCCCCCAAAGATTTCTTCTAAAGTCGACGTCTGGAGTGTAGGTGTGATATTTTACCAATGTCTATATGGCAAAAAACCGTTTGGACATAACCAGTCTCAGGCTACCATTTTGGAAGAAAACACTATACTAAAAGCGACTGAAGTTCAGTTTGCTAATAAACCCGCTGTGACCAATGAGGCTAAGGTAACTAAACTCTTATATTTATTATACATAGAGTTATGGAATGAATGTTATAGACTATTACTTTATAATTTGTTATTAGGACTTGTTTATGTTGATAAAAATCTTTGAGAGAATACTTAGACTGCATTTAGACATTTAATTTTAATTTAGGTCATCTATTTTTTTTTGTATTAATTGAATCATTTATTGGTATATTGTCTTTTTTTTTAAGTTGACTCTTCTTAAACTTTGCTATAATTATTTATTTTTTATTTTCAGAGCTTCATTAGAAGTTGTTTAGCCTACCGCAAGGAAGATCGCATAGATGTTCTTTCTCTGGCCAAACACGAGTACTTGCAACCTCCTATGCCAAAACACTCGCGAGTCACCTCCAACCAGCAGCAGCAGCAACAACAGCAGCAGCAGCAACAGGCTAGTTCGTTTTCGACGGGCATCTTCGGCGCCATGAACGCTTCCTCCTCATCTTAGTGCAGTGCTGTGTTTTTAAGTTATTTAAATAAATAGTAAGAGACAGAGAGATGTTGAACGGATGTAAACAGTGAGTCTGTTACGCGTCGCCGCCATAAACTATTCCCGTGAAAATGGCGCGCGCATGTTGAACCGAACACTATAATGTCAAAATATTGTTGTTGAAAGTTGTTTTAGCGAGAAAAAGGACCAGGATTCCCCTCTAAATGCGATAAGGCTAGAACGTCAAGTGCTGTGCTGGACTAGGTTTTAAATCTTTTTCAATTTCTTGTTGCTTAAAATGCTTCCCTTGTCTCCTACCGCCCTCGCGAGACTGGTGAGGCGTCGTTCCCTTTCCATTTTTGGCCAAAATTGGGTCTCGATTGTGCATGATCCGTTTGTGTTTCAGAAACCGATTTCATATACAGGGTGTGCCAAAAAGTACGCCACCGATTTTTTTATCAATGAGTTATCGGAAACAGGTCATATAGAATAAGTTCAGAATTCTCAATGACAAAAAATAATGTGACAACTTTAATTCAATTTTACTGTCCCACAAAAAAATGTAAAAAACCAAACTGTGCAATGGGTTATGGAAAACAAAATTTAAACTAACATATTGAAAATGACTTTATAAACTATTCAAAAGGATCTGGCACTCATTTCTAGATAAAAAAAAACATGGTACATTAGCTTACTTCGGGTTTCTCTTATTAACGATTCTGAACCGTCCTAGAACTGGGATGCGTATGTGCAGAAGGAAATATGAAGACATTTCATTTGCGCATGCGCTGCAGAGTCTAGGACGGTTCAGAATCGGTAATAACAAGAACCCGAACAAAGTTTCTAATGAAATATGTTTTTTTTTCTATAATCTATTGAAACAAGTTTGGCATCAAATTGACATTTATTTTTTTTTACACTTATTTGTGGGACAGTAAGTTAAAAATATTATATTATATTCTGGTTGAATTTTCTTTGTTTTACATAATTTAGCGAAAACAATACGATATTTATAAAAGTGCCAGTACATTTACGAAACTTTGTATATTGACCTAAAATAAAAGTCTGTCACAAATTGTCACTTAACCTAACTTTTTGCATATCTAAAAAGAGTTTTTGTAATTTACCTACGCGACAGTTTGTTGACGTAATTACGTCAAACATCCTAATTTAGTTCAGCATTAAACCTTCTTACAATAACTCGTTAATAAAAATGGTTCTCAGTTGTTGCAAACTTTATATGACACGCCCTGTATACTTTTGTAACAGTATAATATGAATTATTGGTGCTTAAAAATCAATGTTGTCAAAAATCATACCGGTATTATACATTTATACTAAATAATTAATTATTGTTACCTGCGGACATAGTGTATTTTTATTTCTATACAAAAATAATTCTGATTTGAATTGACTTATTCATTGAAACATATATTTTCAAATATGTTATACTGTAAGAGGAACCTTTTGATATTATTTTGATTAAAAGAAAAAGATCGCTGTAAAGTATTTTTAATTTTCCTATCAGTATTAAATAACACCTTCCAGAAAATCACTCAGATATTTTAGAAAATGTACAGATCACTTTTGTGGCCATTTGTGTGTATATTATACACAAATTATATTTATTTGATCATTTCATGATTTTATATTACAAAGTACCATCATGTAATACTTGTCAACTTAAATTTTATGAAACACAAGTGGAAAGTTTGAAGTTGAATTTGTCTGAGGCTGTAAAAATTTACAAAAAAAACATAAGACCTAAAACAAAAAATAATTTTTCGTTTATTAGAGCAATAAAAAAACAATATAATTATATTGTTATTTATAACTTTTATATATTTTGCCACTGAAAATACTTTTTAACCTAAAAAATATGAAAAAATATACTCTATTTTTTTTGAATTGTTATTGTCAGTATCACTGCCATTTTTAGTCATTTATATACACATACTGAATCTTTTTTAGTATGTTTTGATGACAGATAAACGTAAGACAGCTATTGCATTTTATTTAATATATACAAGCCGCAAATTAACTTAAACTAAGGAAAGGTCTAACGAGAAAAAAACAGTTCCTATGAAAGGACGGTCCCTACCAGACTCTGCGACGGTAATGCACTATTTAAAAGAAAATAAAAGCAGAAATTCCGTAACTAAAAGGTGTAAGTGCAAAACTGAAATGTATGTTTCCCATTCATATTAGGTATGAAATTATAATAAAAGTAGAGAACGTTAAAAAGTTGTTTTATGAAGTGACCTTGCTTTGACCGTACGGTTTACTCTCTTGTTTTTCAGGTCTTCGATTATTTTTTCAAGTGAAGTTGATTACTTACATTTATCACACATTTTTAACGATATCAGGCCGATCTTGTGACATTTTCTTAAAACTAAAAAGTGCTAAATAATTATAAGAAAATGTAACTGGGTAACAGTTACAATGAAAAAAACCTTAAAATTTGACAATGTTTTTGTGGATAAAATTTTTCAAAATTTTCATAAAATACTTATATAGTCTGTACAACGAGAAGATCCCTGACAGTTACAGTTGTGTCTGTCATTTTAATTCACAGATAAATTACACGTACTGTTATTTTTTGGATATGTGTCAAAATCTTCCTTGACTCCTTGGACAGACTTTACTTACTAATAAAAAACTCATACTGTATTTATTTATACATAAGAGGTTGTACATCATTAAAAATAAATTATACCACATAATTAAGGGATATTTTAATTTTTTATTACAAAATTGGTACACATCCTGTGAGCGTTAAAATATTTTAAATTCTATATACAGGATACTTGCATTCCATGGACCAAACTTTACTAGCCAATTGTCCGACTAAGAATATGCATATTTATCAACTAAAAAAATAAAAGTCACACATCTGAGATATCCAAAAATAATGATTGAAATACATTTGGTAGTAGATAATGTTATTGATCATATACAAATATTTATAGGTATTGCAACTATAATTATTGAGATATAAAAAAACGATAATAAAAAGTGCAATGAAGATACTTGTAAAATTTAAGTACCTATCTTTCTTCTTTCTGCACTAATCATCAGATCCCTGACATGACAGGTCACTGCCAGGGAATACATACAATATTGGCAGGTATCTACCTTTTTAAAAGGTATTAAAGGTTGTTACTTGTGACTGTGGGGCTTATGATTTATGTAGAAAGAAAAAATATATCTTGTTAAAATTTGTCACCATTTTTATTGCACCTTTTATCATCATTCTGGTCTTTTTAAAATATTTAAATATTAGTTGGAGTCAGTGGTGAACCACGCAACAACAACGTATTAAATTGTCTTCAACATGAATATAATCATATAAAGGAATTAATAATTTCATTATCAATTAAATTTGCAATAAAATTGCATATAAACATTTTGGTTCCCTCTTACCAGCTCTGAAAAAAGAATTGTATTTTATTTGCTATCTAGTTGTTTTTAATATTATTTACCGTCAACTGAACTCTGCTAATAAATACTGTATGATCGAAAAAAAAACACAGCGTCCAGTTGCTTGGAAATGAACATCGATGCCGTTCCCCATATAAAATAACAGCGATCTTCATTTCATAGCCATCGCTGACACCGTTTTTTTTTCATCATATTGTATAAAATAATACTGTTAAAATTAAGTTCGACATTTAATTGAATATTGTTTTTTCAAGTTGCCAGAAGCATCAGAGGATAGTCTAGAATTTAGACAGATAAAAATATACAGGGTGTCCCAGAAATAAGTGCAAGTATTTTAACTGGGAGTATAGTTCAACCCCAGAAACACGCCTGAGTTTTTTTTTCGCGAAAAAAAAATTCGGAAATTCGGGATTTTTTGAAAAAAAATTTTTGATTTTTTTTTAGTTTTTAGTTAAAAACATAATTTTTTGATAATATGGCAACATAGGAAGTAGATTAAATTCACAAGAAATAAAATCCAGAAAAGATCCAGTGGTTCTCAAAATTTTAGCAAAAAATAATAACTCGGTTATTTTGGACATCTTTGAAAATAAAAATTCCCCTTAAAATACTTGCACTTATTTCTGGGACACCCTGTATACAATATGAAGAAATGTGCTTTATATGATGACTAAATATATCAATATTAATAATTAAAAACATTAGTATCTTAAAAATACATAGATGAAAAAAATTACGTTATTAAATAAAGTTTATTAGCCATAGTATTTCTGTCATATCCACACGGCACTATTCAAATTTTAAATTTGACACAAGAAATAAAATCACAACACTCTAGATGTACCAAAGCAAAACCAACGGTAATTATGCTTTTATTTAGGTACTTTTATATATAAAAATTATTTATTATATTTTTTTTATTCAGTCGTTACAGAACGGAGCAATTCTATTGAATGGCAACACCGATATTGGAAAACTTTGAAGATTTAGTTCGAATACTGGATTAATCATAATTGTGTGTGATAAAATATTACAAAATTATTATTTTTTTTATATTTAAAAGATATTTAGTACTGTAAAAAATAATTGGATGAGAGCTTCCACTTAGAATATTTCTATTAAATCCATTCTTTTAAACAATTATTTTAATTCGAAACAATACTACAATGTCTGCTTCTTATATTTAACACATTGTGGTCTTTGTTTAATATCTTGGCCATTATGATATACAACCAATTATGTCAAAAATGTCATAAGAACTGTGCCACATGATAATAATTGTTGGCTAATTCTAGAATCAAATGTTTAAATCTTTATATTAAAGGTTTTTTTTTCTCTTTTGTAATAACGTGTATATATTAGTTTGCAATATATTTTATCTTTTCTTTACAAAAATTTAATTATATTGCCATTGCAATATAAAAGGTATTGTATTTTTTATCATTTATTATATCTATTGATATAATGTAATATTTATAGACAGGAGTAATTTTCAGATTATTATTTGAAGTTTATTTTTTAGTGCGAATAATGTTATAGTCTATAAAATGAATAACTTTGAATTTTGACCGTTATTTTTTACCAACATGGTAAATATAAAATCCCTCTGTCAAAAAAGTTACTGATATTCTTTAAATTGAGTGCCTGAACGAATCAGATAGGTAACTCTTTTTACTTTCGTGAAATAGAAAAGGAAAATAATAAAAACAAGTGACAGTTCTTCCTCTTCTTGCAAAAATCCACACGAAATGTCAGACTTGTCAAAAGTAACATCTCATCAGCTTTTGACATTTCTAAATATCAGACCGATGCCGTCTCTAATAGAACAGCCTTGGAGCGAGATTTATGACGTCATGCTAGTTAGATGTTGTTTATAGTACTAGATATTGTTTATTGTTATTGTACTAGATATTGTTACATATTTATAGTAATAAATACTTTGGCAAATAAACTATGAACAATACAAATGCAGCAAATGTTTTACAATATACAAATAATGAATAGGTACATAAGATAATGGGTAAAATGTAAAATATATTTTAAATTTTGGGGTTTGAAAATCGATCTAATTTAACAAAAAACATTCAATATCTACTAATAGTGATGTATTATTATTTGCATTCACAAAATTTATATGTATATTTTACAAGTATCAATGTTCGAAATATTATATTTGCAAATAATACAATATCATAGAAAAAAAGGCGTCAGCGATGGCTATGAAATAAAGATCGCTGTCATTTTATATGTAAAATTATTCTAAAATTTTTGATTTCTTGAATTTATGTTTGGGAAAAAATGCTGATTAAGTTTTCATTTGGTTTTCATTATTTTTATTTGGTTAAAAACAAACGTTTCGGCTAACATTATAGCCTTCATCAGGACACATTGTTGTGTCATATAAAAAAGATAGTGTCGAATATAATTCAAAAATGTCAATTTTATATGTAATTTTTAGATTATATTCCACACACCACATAATGTTTCCTGCAATTAATAAACTAATATAAACTTGTCAAAAGATGACCACATATTTTTAAAATTATTATTCTTAACAGTAAAACTATCTACATTGACTATGGCTGAAATCGTACTCCATAGTCAATGTAGATTATTTGTATATTGTAAAACATTTGCTGCATTTGTATGGTTCATAGTTTATTTGCCAAAGTATTTACTACTATAAATAGGTATATATATTGTATTTATTAACTGTATATTATGTATATTTCATGTAAACTATATCATTTTTAAAATACAAACCAAAAATACGAGAAATAACGATGTTTTCCATGTATTCTACAACATATTTATTAATCCGTAGTATCTAACTAGCGTGGCGTCATAAATCTCACTCCGAGGCTGTTCTATTAGAGACGGCATTGCGTCAGCATGGCCGCAAGTTGCTAACCTAATAAAATTAACACTAGAAAAGCCCGCGGGAACTGTCAAATTCAAAGTTATTCGTTTCACAGACTACTACTATGAATAGATGTGTGGAATTGGCCAACAATCAAATTTGAACGAAAAAATGCTTCTTAAATACTTCATTAAGCATGCTCATTTCATAAGGGCATTAAGTAACTATATAACGTGTATTTAATAAGCATCCATCACTTAGCAGCTTTCTCAGACATTTTCATTATGATGATTTGGTTTTGCATTCATCCATTCGCAGAGTTTATTGTTACTTTTTTTATGAATATTTGTTTTGTTTTGAGGTCTATTTTTCAGATGGGAAAATATTGTCATTTACTTTTACTGATATTTTTAGGCATTTAAATGGTTTTTAAACCTTTTTATTATCATTTTTAAATGTATAGATATACAAGATGTATAAAAATTGATAAAAACATGATTTTATTGTCATAAAAAAAGCATTATTAATAAATTCCTATGTAGAAAACGCTTAGGACTATTATTTTCCTGTTGTGATATATTATAAAAATGTGTATATATATAAATTAACATAAAATGACAACATTTTCCTAAATTTTTTTCAATGTATATTTGAAAGTGTGATGAATGCTTAATCAATTCGACGGTAACCTGCTAATATATTCAAAATAAAAAGTAAATCTAAAATTTTGATGATCCTAGGCACTAAGTTATTTAATAGTATATGTATATAATCGGTGAAATATTTTGAATATATCCGTTTAGGAATAAAATTAATGATAATGCCATGAGAAGTTCAAAATTGGAAACATCTCGCGACCCGTCGAGAAATCGCCTATTGGCTAGATCGTTTTTCAAGTTATTTTTTATGTATTATATGTGTATATTACACGTTGTTAGATTAGAAATGGTCAAAAGCAATTTCTCAATGGATACTTGTTCGTTTTGTTGTAAATAATATTGTAATACAAAATTTATGCTGCAATACAAGTGAAAGCCAAACATGTCCATATATTGAAACTCGCAATTAATAAGAATAAAAATACATGTTACTTATTTATACTGTGCTGTTTGTGTGGAGTGGCCCGCCGCCACGGACATTGTGATAAGAGTAGTTAAAAAAGTCATGTCTAGATGCGAAATACTGTAACGTTATTTTATTGTTTATTGTACTGTATCTATACTTTATTTTATACAATCGTTCACAAGTATATCCTACCAATGTAAATACAGTGTGTATTCAGTACACAGTTGTCAAAATTAATTAATTTATTTTTTCTCCAATTGTAAAATATAAGTTCTAATGATTTAAATATGGTGGTTTTATTTTCTTCCTTTTCCCCACATTTATTGAGAACTTGGCAGGCTCTAGTTCAGCTGTGTCCGCTTGCTGCGCTTTGAATCCGAATTGCACAGGTTTTATCTTGCTGTAGGCTGTCTCCATTTTCTCCACCTGTTTAACTTGGTCTCTCCTTAGACCTGATACCGGTGTTGTCCCATATCTATAATAGAGGATATGTCCCTCTTTCTCTATTGCCTCCTTGGATTTGAGGTCAATTCCTATTGTGAGGACCTGACCATGACCCTCCTCCCTCGAGTTGATGACTCGCCAACTCGATGTCCTTACATTGAAGTTCTCACCCTGGATAAGGCTCAGCAGGTAGGTGGTGTCTTTCCCCTTGCTCCTCGGCAGAAAGACCGTGATGGCCGCCCCTTTAGAGATATTCAATTCAGCGATAGAATATATGATTTTGATAGACGATACCCAAAAAATTATATAAAAAACAATCTAGTAATAAATCAAAATAACAGACAACTGTTGTCAAATATTCTTTCGCTGGATTGACTATATTAAGCAGTCCAAACACTAAATATAAATTATTTCTAAAATTTCTTCACTCACCTTAAACGTTGTGAAACATCACTGAGCAGCGTAACAATTCCTTCATACTGTTTTTTATATTTTTCGGTGTGATATATAATTTCTTCTTCTTTATTGTTTGAATTGTCGTGAAAAACGGAAATAACTGTTAATACCTTATTTTCTAATTCGTCTCTAAAGAAATATTTTAACGATATAAAGTACCGAATAAACATAATAATTACAATGCTTACTTTGAACAATCACTATTTAATTCTATGTCTTGAACGACGGCAGCCAAGTCTTTTATATGTAAGGAAGGCACTTCTATCACAGGTTGTATCTTGCTGTACGTTCTAGTTTTGTGTACCAAGTAACTGCTCCATAATAATCATGGGTCGTCCTATCATGGTTACCATCACGCCAGTGTAACGCATATCATAAGAGTCTTTGTGGCTTTGCTGGTAATTGTCCGATAGAAGTTTATAGTTTAAGAGCTAGCAACGTTTTCGAGAAAGTATTTTAAGAAAGCCGACTCTGATATATCTTTACCATAGAAGGAAAAGAGTAGTTGTGACTCTCCCAAATATTTTCTGCCAGTTTTTTCAATCTGTCGAATATCGGCAGATTGCAGAGCGTTTCAGTTGAGTTCCGTCCGTCGACCTGCGAGGTTCAAGCGTTGTATTCCAGCACAAAAAAATGAGTGCTTTGAGTTTTTTTTTTGAGAGCCATTTGTGATCATGTTTGTGTTCAGGTTAATTTTCTTATGACTGATTACTACCCTTGTATAAACAAGGTTACTACTTAATAATTTGATATTATTTTCATTTAAACCTCAATTTTTTAGCGATTGTACTTTTGACAATCATCCCTTGCTTGCTGTTTAACGAACTGCCATGATGTCATCATTGAACAAAAATTTGCTAGTACCGAAAAAAACTGGAAATCCCGGTTCCTTAGAGGCAAGGTACGTTCCGAAAAACAGCTCCGGTTCCGAAAACGTTATAACGTACCATAACCGGGAATTGCCCTATACAGAGTGAGGCTTAAATAAGTGCGAATATTTTTAGGGGTAGTATATTTTGGCCCTAGAAATATGAGGATTTTTCTGCGCAATTTTTTTTGAAAAAAAATCTGAAAATTTTTTTAGTTTTTAGAAAAAAAAAAACATAATTTCTTGATAACATGGTAACTAGGGTTCAGAACCGGAAATTCCCGGTTCCTTGGAGATATCAAAGAACCGGGACTCGAAATTATTAATTCCCGGTTCTTTCGGTACCTTCGGAACTCGTTAACAATAGAGAACAACGGCATACGGTCGAGTCGGCCGCTCCTGGCACGTATACGTAGACGTAAAGAATCTTTTACGTGTATAAAAAATAGAAAATATACGAAATGCGCATGCGTACGTACACGTTTACGTGTTTGTAGGCCGATTCGACCGTATGCCGTTGTTCTCTATTAACTAAAAAATTATTCTTTTATTTACGTGAGAAAGTAGTGATGCTATTTCTCATTGTTCTTGCTTCTTTTCTCTTTTAAAATTTCTGTAATGTATATTAGCAATTATTGAAGTTGAAATATGTTATTTTATTATTTAGTACAATGTGTTGTTCAATGTATTAGTTATCCAATGAAAATCACCTAACCAATAATTACTACAAAACACACATTAATGAACAAGAAAGAAATGTATATGTTTGCGAGTTGTTGAGGGCTGAGCCGTTTAATATTTTCCTTCTTTTTAAACACACACATATTGCATATTATTTTTAGCAAGTTAGCATATTTACAATTATTAACAAACAATAACTTATATTTTTCAATGCATCAGATAACATCTGTAACAACCAGGTCCTAGGATTAGTAAAAGACCAGTACAAAATGTACGAAAATTGAAGATTTATTCTTATTCACTTCAACGAAATATAAACAAAAACAAGGTTTTTATTGTAACAAAAAATACAAAGATTTATAGACTTAATACAAAAACAAAACGTTACATTATAAACAAATATATATTTCTAACGAGATATTTACATAGGTGGCAGACCTTCGTTAATTCTAGTAATAATACCGTCCAAAGGACAGTACTGGCTTTCGGAAACGGTCATCCGGCAGTTCATGTGAACTATTAAACTTATTATTAGTGCTATCGCTAGAATACTAAGTACCAATACCATTAGTTTTTTAGGCAAGAAGCGTTTTCTGAAACAAGTTAGTTTTTTTAGTTGAAGTAGGGGTGCAGTTATGAGAATAAACTAAGTAGAAAATTAGTGGTTAATGACATTTTTTAGAAATAGTTATATAATTGTTTAATTTTAATATCTTGTGTTAAGTATAAAAACAAACCAAAAAATATACCTGTCTGACGACTTTTTAGTCTCTTGATTTTGCTTTCCGGTATCTTTTTCTTTTCTGTGCCTTTTTCTTAGGACGTTTTCTTCTAGAGGTTCGCTAAAATAAAATATTTTAATTGATACATCTCTTTACCTCTATACGCTAAAGATAATTTCACTTATGTACGACACACTCTGTACAAGTATTTTTTGCATACCATGGTAAAAATTCCTCATGCGTCTTAACACTTGATACGTATTCGTTAAACAGACTCCAAAATTTCTTCAAATTATTCTCATAAAGTAAGGCACCAACTTGTCCAACGTTCTCCACAAGCTGTTTCATCTGAATTTTAATCTCTTCCAGCAAAACAAATACTGGCATAATAGGTTCAGCTGTTCCGATACAAACGTGATCCCTGGTGATAAAAAAATATTTGTTTTTATGGATAATGTATATTTAACATACACTCAGGTACAAAAAAAATGCCACCAAATCTCTCTTACCTGTCTCTACGACAGGTAACTATATAGTTACTAAGCGGAAAAACTTTTTAATCTTTGTTTTTTTTTTAATTTTCTCTAAAATGGTATGGAAAGTTGGAAAAGTATAAACGGGATTTACCGTTTTTAAACAAAAAAATTTTTTTTTCAAGAATGCATTTTTCTCGAAATGTCAATAATAAAAAAGTTTTTCCTCTTGTAAAGACAATCCAGGGACATACTGTATATAAAACCTTCATTGAAAATTAGAAGTAATTCAGCGATGTAGAATGTAGAATGACTAAGAAGAGGGGGTTAATCACTGCGACCTTAAAGATCTATTGTGCCCTCCTTTCTTGAGTCATCGCACAGTCTATAACCCATCATACCCCTGTTGTAAAGGGAACAGGGTATTTCCCATCCTCCTCTGACAACAGTTCTTCCTCCGAGGGTACACACCCTTCCACGGTTGGACTTTGGCCCTCCGTGCCGCCCTTCACAGTCGAGGAGCTTGCCTCCGGCTGAGGAACCCGTCAGGTGGAGGCTGTAGGATCTGTCTCCATTTTCTCCACCTCTTTAACTTGGTCTCTCCTTAGACCTGATACCGGTGTTGTTCCTTATCTATATTAGAGGATAGTCCCTCTTTCTCTATTGCCTTCTTGGATTTGAGGTCAATTCCTATTGTGAGGACCTGTCCATGACCCTCCTCCCTCGAGTTGATGACTCGCCAACTCGATGTCCTTACATTGAAGTTCTCACCCTGGATAAGGCTCAGCAGGTAAGTGGTGTATTTCCCCTTGCTCCTCGGCAGAAAGACCGTGATGGCCGCCCCTTTAGGGATGTTCAATTCAGCGATAGAATATATGATTTTGATAGACGATACCCAAAAAATTATATTAAAAACAATCTAGTAATAAATCAAAATAACAGAAAACTGTTGTTGTCAAATATTCTTTCGCTGGATTGACTATATTAAGCAGTCCAAACACTAAATATAAATTATTTCTAAAATTTCTCCACTCACCTTAAACGTTGTGAAACATCACTGAGCAGCGTAACAATTCTTTCATACTGTTTTTTATATTTTTCGGTGTGATATATAATTTCTTCTTCTTTATTGTTTGAATTGTCGTGAAAAACGGAAATAACTGTTAATACTTTATTTTCTAATTCGTCTCTAAAGAAATATTTTAACGATATAAAGTGCCGAATAAACATAATAATTACAATGCTTACTTTGAACAATCACTATTTAATTCTATGTCTTGAACGACGGCAGCCAAGTCTTTTATATGTAAGGGAGGCACTTCTATCACAGTCTGGAATTTTAACATTGTATTAAGACGTATACTAAGGGCTGGCAAAGGTTAGTCTTGGGTCGAGATTTCCGTATGTAAGAGTACAATGCGATTATAATGTACTGAACAAAGAGAGAACAGTAAACACGTTGCCAAACGAATTAAATAAACCGAGAAACTGTGCACATTGCGAAGAGACGTGGAAAGGGGTATAATAGATTTTGTCGCAGTTGATCGGACGACCCAATCAGTACCTCTGGCAGTACTTAAAGTTCTAGGGAAATGTGTACATCATGCGTTCAGCTTCACGATTTAATTACGTCTCGCGATACTTTATTTATTAACGAGTCGTTGTAATTTTCACTATAGCTTGAAAAATTTTAAGTTCAAGTTAGAAACACTTGCATCTTTGGTGTTCGACAGTGGTCGCGCTATTAGAACTCTGAATTCAAAAATCGATATCTCGAAATCTATGGATACTCTAACGATATCCTTATAATTCCATTTCAGATGCTCAGAAACATATCTAATGATTTTATCTTGTTATCTATTCGAAAAAAAGTCGTTTAAAAATAAGCGGTTTGCGATCGTGATTTTACTTTAGATGATAGGGAAAGGCGTACCGGCAACGTCGCATCAGCACACCGTCGCGTTGCTCTCACTCCGACTTAATAAGATCCCTAAGCGATTTACTTCCACACATGTAAATGCCAACCCAAAAGTAAGAGTTGCCAGCAGGGTATGTTCAGAGTGTCCATTTTCGTGTTTTATGAGGTTTCTCGTTTACGAGTAGAGGTAAAAAGATGCGATTTTCACATTACTATGCTACTTTTTTACGAAATTAAAGATGCTACACACAGATTTGTCCTAGCCCTCTTAGTTCCTGAAATACAAGGCGAATTTAATATTGTTGCATTTTTCGACTCCTCTCGTTTGTCTGTTATGTTATCAAAAGAGTGAAAACTGAGCTCCATAGAGATTTCCATGTAGCGCATCTTTGTATCTCTACTATAAATAGAGAAACCCCTTAACACACACGAAAATGTGACACCCTGTTCAGGGTGGGCCAAATTGGACGCTTTTAAAGGGAAACACCCTTTTCTATAGGAGATAGATCAAAACTAATATCGGTGTTTGGAGCTAAAATTGAGCAGAAAAATTCAACAGGAAACTGCATATCGATATCTGTTACCGTTTGTTACGAGGTGTTTTTCTTAATAATTTAAGAATTCAGTTTAAGAATCAACAGAAAATTTGATTTTTATATGGGACACCCTGTATATTTTTAATTCATTGAAAATAAGTTCTTTTCGCTTAATTAAAAATATACAGGATGTGCTAAATAAAAAATCAATTTTTTTGTTGATAAATCTTAAATTATTAATTTAAAAAAATTATACTTAAACCATTAAATTCTACGTAAAAATGTGCTTTGGAAATGTTTTCACAAAAATATAAAATTTTCCATAGCAAAAAAGTTAAAGCGATTTTTTAAAAATGCAAATTTTTTAAAAACACCCTGTAATTCATAAACGGTAATAGATATAGATGTGCGGTTTTCACAATCATGTTTTTTGAGAAAAATTGAGCTTGAGACATCATTATTAGTTTACGTCTATCTCCTATAGAAAAAAGCGTTTCTCTTCAAAAACGTCGAATTTGACCCACCCTATACATCTACAAAATAAAAAAAATATTTTACACTTACCTCTGATGGGGTGAGTATGGGTTCACTTGGACAAGTGGTCTGGATTTTTGCAGAACATAAGGTGAACTTGTTAACCGTCTTGCTCTCGCTAAAAAAAGAAACCATTTGATATTAAAATCTTGAATACGCTTATACCAAATCAACTTTACTTAGAAAGATATATCTTTCCGTTAGATTGAGCCATTAATTTGTGTAAACAAAAACATAAACTTATTGCACGTGCTAATATTTTTGACAAAAAATGACAAATAAATTTGAACATTCAACAGGTAACAATTAGAATCTGACAATTGATCATTGTCTATTGTCTATACAGGGCCCGGCAAAATGTATCGTGCAGCTGTCGTAAGCAAATTTTGTGCAGCTGTAGTCCTAAGTACCGTTTGATAGAAAAAAAAACCGCGTAAAATTTGTTGGAAATGAACATCGATGACATTGCCCATATAATCTATACTAATATATAAAATCCTTAAGTGACTGACATACTGATTTATCACGATCCTGCTCAAACCACTCAACGTAAGAAGCTCAATTTTGGCATACAGGTTGATTCTAGGGTGTAGAGGTTCGATAAGAAGGGATTTTTCGAAATTCCAGTTCCAAGAGGGTGAAACCACCCCTCAAATATTACAATATTTTTATATAAAAAATGCTTAAACACGTATATTTTATTTTGTTTTTTTACATATTTTAAGATTTTTTAAAAATGTATACAGGGTGTTTCGAAAAATCTGGTCATTGATTAACCACGATCGTGCTTAAAGCGCTTGACGTAAAAAGCTCATTTTTGGAAAATGGATTGAATTTAGGGTGTAGAGGTTCGATAAGAAGGGATTTTTCGAAACTCGAATTCTAAGGGGGTGAAACCACCCCTCAAATATTAGAATATTTTTTATTTAAAAACCGGAGTTTTTCGAAAAAACTCTTAAACTCGTATATTTTATTTTGTTGTTTTACATATTTTAAGATTTTTTTAAAAATTTATACAGGGTGTTTCATAAAATATGACCATTGAGTAATCACGATTCTGCCTAAACTGCTTGACGTTTAAAGCTGATTTTTGGCAAACGGATTGACTGTGGGGTATAGAGGTTCGATAAGGAGGGGTTTCTCAAATTTCAAATTCCAAGAGGGTGAAACGCCCCTCAAATATTACAATATTTGTTATTTAAAAAACGGTTAGTCTTTCGGGAAAACGCTTGGACACGCATAATTTATTTTGTTTTTTTACATATTTTGAAATTGTTTAAAAAATCATACAGTGTGTTCCAAAAAGTTGGGTAATTGATTAACCACGATTCTGCTTAAACTGCTTGACGTAAAAAGCTTATTTTTGGCAAACGGATTTTTCGAAAGCGAAATTCCAACGAGATAAAACTACCAATTCGACGCGAATGAAATCGCGGGTACACACTAGTTTTATATATAAAATGACAGCGATCTTCATTTCATAGCCAACGCTGACGCCGTTTTTTCAGATCATGTATATTCGATACCAATTAAACTTTTAGTTACGTATAGAGGGCGCGATTTTTAAAATCATTGTTGCCAACCATGTACACATTCGGCGCCGGGCTAACTAACTAGAATTTAAATTTCCCGCTGGGGAATCAGGTGGTAGCTCTGGTGTAAAAAAATTGCCACAACTACAGTCGAACATTGTTCTTTTTAGAACCTCTTTTAGTGCGAAGTGACAAGCAAGTCAAGTGAGACATCTTAATAGCCGTAAAAAACTCATCGCAACTTTATTACAATATTTTGAACGGGAAAGCGACACTACTGTCCCTTAAGTGCTGTTAAGGACGTGAGTTTTGTTGATGTAAATAATAACTGTTTATATATTTATAATTTATTTTTGATTCCTAAAATATTTTGATTAAAAGAAAATATGTAAAAGTGGGCAACGCTGTGCCGGTCAAGCTTAATCACGTGACTAAAAGTTTATTTGATATGAGCATGTATTAGAATGTACAGGAAAATATTTTAACTTCTACAGGGTGGCTCAAAAAAGTGTGTGGATCGAAACGATTTTTTTTTCAAATGGAACACCCTGTATCTTATTGAATTTTTTGTTTCCTTTCTGATCACTTTCCATAACCCTAATATAATATTAAATGTTTTGATAGTTTCAGATAGTTCTTTTTTAAGAAAATTATTACCAATACAAGAGATGTCCTGAAATCAAAACTATACTAGGTATTTACTATAGTTGGTCTGTACTTACTTTCCTATAAATATTGTAATCTTAAACCATACAGGGTGTTCAAAATTCTATGCGAAACTTTCTAAAATATAAAATAATTTTTCGTTTTTGTAAATGGAACACCCTGTAAATATTTTTTCAATAGATGGGAAATTAAAAAATGTAAATAAGTATTTTTTGTATTTCAAAATTTGTAACGGTTCTGAGGATATTCGTAATATTATTATATATTACTTCTTGTGGGTTTTTCAACAGTATTTTTTTAAGCCACCTAATGATTTTTGTTTGGTATTTTACCGTTCAAAGAACCATATGTAATAACAAAACGAGAATATTTGCGAAACCGCTAAAAATTTTATAATACTTTATATACAAAAATGTTAATTATTTAATTCTCCATCTAATAAAGAAATAATATAGAGGGTATAAATATTTTCTAGCTTTAAACGGCAAAAAATTGTTCAAGTTAAACGGAACACCTCGTATTATGAGCCCCACAAGATGCAAAATTTAATATTGTAGCAAATTGTACTACCCTTTTTTAGGGTATGTACAGTTAGCTGTCTGAAAATTCATTACTATACCAGCTAGAAGTATAACATTTTGTACAAGGGTTTATTTCGTGACATCAATAATAAGCATGAAATATTGTTTCTTCAAATCACTCCTCTAGATGTAAAAATATCGTATAAAGAGAGTAATAGTGCTCTTAAAATCTTATATTGACATCTTTTATACATTTCAGGTGAAAAATTGCATAATAAAAAATAAAATTTTTGAAACGCAATTTATATGGGGCCTTTGGAGGGCTCTATCTATAGAGGGTAAACGGTCATTTCAGTATTTATTATTTTCGAGAGATTTTCTATTTTCAGATTTAACAAAATTATTAAAATATCGGCCTTGGTTCGATTTCTAAAACACCCTATACATCATTAAAAAATAAAAAGCAATGGAAAAACGCCACCCCCAACCATACATAATTAGTTTCAGTCAATGGAAGGATATACATAAGGTAATCACAAAACAATTTCCGATGCACATGATCAACTTTGAGTGACAAGCGATGGCGACAGCGCCTCCGGATTGTGATGGATTTATGAGATGAATCTTAATTTAAAAGTGACAAGCAACATATATTTATTATATCATTTTTCAAAGATTTTTACATTTTATTTTTAGTTTAATAACTAATATTTTAGTAATTAATTGATTTATTTGTTTATAGCTTATTTTACTTATTACATATTGGCAAAAACTAGTCCATTATGAAGATTATTCTAAGCGTTATTATGGGTTAATTATGTATTTATTCATGTACATCTTACAACGCCATAAGTGGTAATAACAAGTAAGTGGGTGCTATTAATACACAAACTAATAATTACAGAATTTAAAAAAAGAACAACTTTGAAAGTGGTGTAATGTGCTTATCAATCAAACTTCTTCTCTGACTGCAGTCAAGGGTAATAAAGGACCTTTATTGTCGGGATTAAAGCAGTCAATCCCGCGGATGCGCAAAATTGCGGGACTGTAAACAATAGTCATAGATTTAGTCCTAAATGGTACTAAAGGCATTGTACATTTTGCATAGGCCCACAATATTTTGATATAGCGTGTATCTTAAACTAGCTGTACAGAAATTTGGACCGATGTATACAGGGTGTTCAAAAAATATATTTAATATTAAATAAACTTAAATTTTATTATAATTTATCTACTTATTTTATAAATAAAAATATTATTAAGTAAAAGACTATGAAAATAGACAAAAAAACGAGAATTACTCACAAAGATTCAACAACGACACGATATTATACAAAATAATGACTGACATTAGGATAATAATTGTCAAATAATAAACGACAACCTTGCTGAAAACGGCGCAATGTGACCAACATAGCGATAATAAAATTCGGTTTAAACTAACTTTTGCAGCTTTAATCTAAATAAAATATCTGTTACAATCGTTTGCTCTATAAAGTAAAATGAAGAGCTGCTCGGTATCTTAAATTATACAACAAATTTAAACATTTTTGCCGTATATAAGGACATAGTGTCATATATATGGACATTTACATGGTATGTAATATGGATATGATTGATGACGTGCATCGGAAAATGTTTTGCGATTATAATAGAAAATTTTGAAAAAAGTGTAAAAAGCAAGATTTCAAAAAATGAAGAAAATGCCTGGACGATTCGAGTTGCTGAAAAAGCTAATCTTATTTATAATTATTAAACGAAACATAAATTTATCAATAAATATTACCTTGTACAATCAGATAAACATTTTTCAATGTTCGCCTCGTCCTTTGCGGAAATCGCCTTCAAACTTAATATTTCACTATCTGCCAGAGATAATTTTATTTTCAACTCTTCATATTTCGACTTTTCCCTTTGCAGTTCAGCCTCCAAACATTCCACTTTTTCCTTCAATCGATCAATGGTCATCTGTTGTCGGAAATAACTTTTACCCTTAGTGACATCTTTCTCGCTATTGGAAGTGTTGAGTCCCGATTTTTTCTCTAACACTTTTTTAGTTTCTATCAATTCCAATTCTACGGCATTTAGTTGTGTATTTACTTCAGTCAGCCTCGATAATTCGTTATTTAAAAATTCTTTCTCGCGGCGAACTTTCTTTAAATCGTCCTCCAGTGTCGCAAAGTTGGTTAGAATTTTTATATATTCCTCTTGTAGTTTTGCATTTACATCTTTTAATTTTATCAGTTCGTTATCTAAGATTTCTTTTTCAAAAGACACTTTCTTCAATTCGTCGCGATTTTCTCGAAGTATCTGTTCAGATTGCCTAACAAGATCAATTTGATGCATATTGTTTTCCGACAAAACCAAGAATTTCTCTTCCAAACTTGCGTATTCAATTTTTGTGTTATTTAAGATTAACTCAGAATTTTTATGCAAACCTTGTATTTCTTTCAGTTCGATGAGTAAATTATCATATTTTATTTGAAGTCCGTCCATTTCTTTTTGCTTTTCAGTTAAAACGACTTGATTATTTTCAGCCTCTCTTACTATGGCTACACACTGATTTTTGGTTTGTTTGTTTTCTTCAGTTTTTTCAGCCAATTCTTTTCTCAAAATAGTAATTTCAGTATCCATTTCTTTTTGCCTTTCAATTAGAATGACCTGATTACTTTCAGCTTCTTTTACTTTGGCTGCATATTGATTTTTTAAACGATCCAGTTCGTTATTTATCGAGATATTTTCTTCAGTTTTTTGAGCCAATTCTTTTTTCAAAATAGTAATTTCATTATCCATTTCTTTTTGTTTTTTAATTAGAATTGCTTCATTATTTTGAGTTTCTTTAACCTTGGCAGCATATTGATTTCTTAAACGATCCAGTTCGTTATTTATCGAGATATTTTCTTTAGTTTTTTGGGCCAATTCTTTTTTCAAACTAGCAATTTCAGTTTGGTTATTATTCTGACTTTTAAACAATTCTTCAGATAATTTATTATGTTTTTCAATGAATTCTTCTATTCTTTTTGTCATTTCAGTCTCGTTCTCGTTTACCTTTAGTTTAAGTGCAGCTAATTCAAAATCTTTTTTGTTTAGAGCTGTTTTGACCTGTTGTAATTCCTCGACCATACTACTATTTTTCGACATTTCGCTAATCAATTTTCTTTCTAATTCTTCAAGAATTTCACTTGCTTCTTCACTTATATCATCAATTACTTCAGTTTGAGATGAGCCATCGGATTTCTTTACATTAATTATCTCGTTTAATTCTTTGATACGTTCATTTAAACTTGATAGGTTTTGTTCAAGTTTTTCTCTCGCTTTAGTTTGTGATTTATAATCTGTTTCTAGTTTTTTAAAGTCTTCTTGAAGTATTTTATAGTTTGAAACGTAAGTGTTATTTTCTTCAGTTAGGAGACTGATTTCGGCATTGTATTTGATACATTTCTGTACTTCTTCATCATGCGTAATAAGTAAAGTATTATGTTCTATCTTAAGGTCATCAAACTTTCTAGTTAATTCTTCGTTTAATCTATGCGATTCTGTTAAATCGTTTCGCAGCATAGCCATTTGATGCCACAACTTATTGTTTACATCTGTAAATAAAATAATAATAAGCGATGTTTTATAATAAGTAAAAACAGTGTAGAAACTTTGTAAATGCATGAAAAAATAAGGCAAAAAATGTGTTAGAATACCGCGTGACACAAAAATCTTTGCATAGGCTTATTTTGTATAAAATTAATTAGAAACTTGGGTTCAAAATGTAGATAAATATAATTTTAACTAGAACTCCATAAAAAAATTCAAGATGCTGTTTATGCAACGATATCAGTGTCAACCAGTGGTATAGATTCCAGAGTGTATCTTACTTATATCTTGCTCTAAGCCATCTTTTAAATACAACATTTCCTCCATTTTTTGCATTAATGATGTTTCCGACTGATGAAGGTTATAACTCATACATTCATTTATAGCTTTAAGCTCATTTATTATCGCGTCTCTATTTTCCACATGCCTCTGAACCTCTACTAGTGTCGAATTTATTTTCGTAATTTCGTAAGCTTTTTCCGATTCTAATTTTGAAACAGTCGTTTGTAACACATCGATTTCTGACTTCAAGGATTTTGTATGTTCTTGGGTCTCAGTTAAACGTTGTTCTTTAACTCTCAGCTGAGATGAAACATTTTTCAGATCTTGTTCTAACTGGCTACACTTGAAATCTAAGTTCAGAATTTGCTCTTCCGCTTCAACGGAATCTTTCACTTTACCTTCAAATTCTTTTACAATGTTCCTCTCTAAATTGTCTTTAAACTGCTTAAGTTCCAATTCCTTTTCAAGCATTTTCTTATTAAACTAAAAAATATAAACAAAGAATGTTAACGTGGGGACTGTAAAAAAAAGGAAAAATTATCGGGCAAAATCTATAGTAAGATTAGCCATGAAAACATGACTAAAATATGACTATCCGTAGACAGTTAGTTTTTCTGCCTTCCGGCTTCATCAATTACTGATGTAAACTTTAGTTACTTTTGGTAATAGGACTCGTTACTTTGGACTCGTTACTTTAGTTACTCGTTACTTTGGTACTTAGTATCGTTATTTTATAATCGTTGTTTTGTGTACAGGTTGGAAGACTTGGGCTTGACGTGGAACTTCGTTACTTATTGTGCGCGGCGATTTTCGTTGCATGCTCGGTATAACCTATAAGGGGTTTCTACTTTCTTCTAGTGTAAGGGCTTAATAGGATAATTTCAATACTCGGTATTCAAGTACTGAATAATGTTTTTAATAATATGTATAATATTTTTATAATGATATGTTAAATAAAACCCTAAACAAGGATAAAACTATGTACTATTAATAAAATTAAAAAAAAAAGAAAACAAATCAAACAAAGAAAATATGTGTATAATAAATATAAAGTATTTTTTTATATTCTCTCCCTCTCTCTCTCTCTCTCTCTCTCTTTTTATTACATTAATAAATATGCAAACATTAAAGAGTAAAAATTAAAAAAAAAAATTATATATTTTTGTTAAAATGTAAAAATATTAAAAAAATGTATATTCCTCTGTAGCGGTGTATATTCATCTCTTCAAAAAAGTCCTTTGGATTAACGCAGCAGTGTTTACTAAAAATTACTATTTTTATTTTGTAGATTTTCTTACAGTGTAAGTGGCAAAATATCTATTCTCTTTTGAAGAAGAAAAATATTTGCTCTGCTTTTTCAGATGTTAACATTTTTTGTGACTAACGTGAATCTGAATATCTAAGACATGTTAATCTAAATAAACAAAGCCGGCATGAAATGTACAACTATGTGCGGAACCTGTCGTGGGCAAAGTTGTTCGAATACTGAGCACATTCTAGAAACTATAGTCGATGACAATATGTAGATGAAAGTAGGAATGTTAGTTTAGTGGAATAGGCAATGTTTTTCTTTGTATTATATAGTATTATATCTGTTGCGTGTATATTTAGCACGTTAAAATACCTTGGGAGACTATAATTTGAATTTGTATTTTTTACCTGTATTTTTTTTGTACTCCATTTTTCAAACGGTTATTGCTCAAAATGCATTGGATAAATATAAATAATGAATAGAACCTTTTTTGTAGCAAATTTTATAAGGAATATTTTCGGTAAGTATGAAATTTTTTGTGGGACCAACGGGTTCTGAGAAAAGAGCGAAAAACCATCGAAGGGCGTATTGGGGGTGGTTTTTTGGGGTGAAGCTCACACTTTAAAGTTAAGAACTCTTTTGATTTTGAAAAGTCCCCTTTTGGTGCGTCTAATCTCAACATATCAAAACTTTATAAATTTTTTCTTCTATTCGGCTATTTTAGGTCTAATATAAATACGATGTACTTAAACAGCCGTTAAACGGTAGCCTACTAAAATGCCGTTAATAGATATTGTGACGTCGTTCATGTCGGCGGAAAGTAATGCCTAGCCTTAAGCATTCTGCAAGAGCACCTGTGGGTCAGTGGCTGAGGTTATCGCTTCGTAAGCGAATGGTCCGTGGTTCAAATCTCACGCCGACCAAGACTTTTTTATATTTTTTTTGCTTATAGCGTGATCTTATTGTATTGGCTTCACTCAGAGAATAGGTACATTAAAGAAATGCTAACTTCATGTTAAAAAATGGAAACAGACGCCACCTGGTGTCGCCTGGCAGTACTAGCTAAATTGAGGGGAATTGGAGGGGCGGGGCTTAAAAGAGGGGAAATTTAAAAAAAAATATTTTTATAAGTATCACTGACTTACTGTTTAAAGTTAATAAACATATTTTTTATTACTTTAATATAATTTAATGTATTAAAAAATATGTCTATTAACTTTACACAGCAAATCAATGATATTATTAAACACTTATTATTTTCAGAGAAAATTCATAGTAAATAAATTACACATTAGTAAACAACATTTATTTTTTAGAGCTGCGATTTATATTACAATAATATTGAAATATATATTTTATTAACAATGAAAAAGAATATCCGGGAACCTGAAAAAGAAAGATCAATTAATGACTTAAATTAGTTCAAAATACATTTTGCAAATAACTAGTGAATTGGAAAGATAAACATACTATTAAAAAGACATTTTAGTAGTATGTTATCATCTATTTACTGATAATACATTACATAAGTATATAATAGGTAAATAACATGCATAAGGCACTATGATACAACTACCTGTATCATGATAACACACTAATATGACAAAAATATATGCTAATTTAAATTCCTTTAATGATCTAATGAAACACTATCTAGCCTCAATGCATGCTATTCCAAAGGCAACAAAAACTGTTATACCAAATAAATATAAGCTGAATAAAACATAAAACAAGCCAACGTGCATAAACAACCAAAAAATGCATCAAAAAATACTTTTATCAGATCATACCCTTGGATATATTATGTATTTTATATATCGCACATCCCGTTCAAAAGTTTACCAACTCAAAATAGAGAATATAGAGAACATTGTCAGGAGAAGTAAAAGAAAATTTAAGTTAAGGCAATATGCTCCTTTTTGCATATTAACGGCCAAATAATATAATGTTGATTTAATAAAATTTTACTGGCATCCTTCTGAGGTATAAATCAGATTAAAAAGGACATTGTTTTTTTAATAATTGTTTGTTTTGTAAACATTTTTTGAAGACAATACAGTTTTGAACCGGCTCTGCGATATAAACAAGGATCTTACTATTATTTGAGGTTAGAAAGTATTTAAATAATATAAAACATAATCAAAATCATTTTTTATCATAAATTATAGAGGTACTTACGTGTTTTGATATTATTATCAGGAAATAATACGTTTAGTTAAACAGGTACGCTGCCAGGCAAGTTCTATCGGCGGGTCTTTGCAAGAGTTGAAATCTAAAAATACAAAAATACGTTTACATCTTAGTTGTATTTACGAATAAAGTATTTGTGTGTAATTTCTGACTTACCAGTTAACTGAATAATCGCATTAAATACATCGAAATGGTAATTTAATATTGTAAAAAAGCAAAATTGTTTTGCATCATTTGCCAGGACAGCCCGGCCAGCTTCTTTGTTGACAAAATGGCCGCGGTATCATGATTTAAGCAATGTGAGTGACAAAGAAAGCCAATGCCTGGCAGATGTTGCTTTCTTTGTCGTTGATCCTGGCACGTTTAAATTTGACTGTTGCCTGTTTTCCCATACAAGTGACACCCCCGTGGCTTCACTCTTTTTAGTTGGATTGGTTGAGTTATTTGGCGGGTTGGTTAGCATGGTTATTTGCAGGGTGTTAATTCATTGGTTAGTTGGTTATTTGGTGGGGTTGGTTGATTTTTACTAATTTATATTTGTTTTTTATATTTTTTATCAGTGTCGAGGTTATTTGGTGGGGTGGATAGCGTTGGTTAGTCCTTATAAAATTTCTATATTTCATAAAGCCGTCAAGTGCGTCACATCAACGACGTCATACCTATTAACGGCATTTTAGTAAGCTACCGTTTAACGGCAGTTTAAGTACAGCCATATAAATATACGAATTAGCAACAATACTTACTTGTTCTTCGTTTTCCCGCATCTGTTTTTCAGCGTTTTCTTTCAAATAAGTAATCTCAGTTTGACTTGTTTCGACGTCATTTATTAAAACGAAATTGCGTTCGCGCAAATCCTTGTTGTTATTTTTTAGTTCTTCTAATTCTTTTATTAGATCCGTTCTTTCGGTTTGGAGATCTTCTAACTCTTCCTTCAAAGTTATCACTTCATCTTTCAAGGTCGAGACTAAATCGTAGTTTTCAACCATACTGGAATTTGAATTGTAATGTGACAGTCTGACATCGGCCTATAAAAAATATAATACTGTAGCCAGAGCTGCAAGCTCATAGAAAACTTAAGTCTTTTTTTGACTTCAATCATTTTAATGACTTAAGCCATTTGATTTTAAGTCATTTTTCGGAAACTGACTTAAGACTTAAAATTTAAGGCTTTTTCAAAATGACTTGTGGCTTTGAAATTTTTGTTTGCCGTAAACAAAATTTTTATAGCCCTCTTCGTTTCTGAGCTACAGGGTCTTTTTGAAAATTTTGCAATTAGGGACAGCCCCCGTATCTCCGTTATTGTGGATTATATCGAGAAGGTAAAAACTGATTCTTGTAGAACTTTTTACGTAGAATACAGTGGCGTAGTCTGTTTCTCTACGAAAAGAATATTTTTGAAGATATGAACTATAGTTATGTTTTTTTAAATGGAATACCCGGTATATTTATAAATTATACAGGGTGGCGCCTCTCATACGCCGCGGAGGTTCCAAGGAGAACGACAGTTTGTATTGAAATGAAATTTCGTGAGCATATGTAGGTTAATTCAGAGCACTTTTTAAAAATATAGAGAGTTCTACAGGGTGTCCCCAAAATAGTTACATATCAAAGTCGTGTTTTTTGTAATGGAACACCCTATATATTAATTGATTGTCGGATTTTGGGAGAAAAATAAAGGTGAGTTTTATAAGAGAAGTATATGACTAAAATGTCAGACTTATTTAACATTTTCTAGAAATAAAGAACAATTTTTAAATTACAATAAAAGCTACCTAAATTGGAATTTACCCGGTATAGCTTAATATGTAGTTAAATTAACTATTGTTAACTTTAAATCAAATTAAAACATGATCCAAAAAGTTATACAGGGTGAGACAAAATTATTATTGAACATTGGTCACCTTTAAAAGCATGTTACTCTCTTATTTGAAATGGGACACCCAGTATATTATTCCGACATTCTATGGAGAATTCATGTATCTTCAAAAAACTATCAAGGTTGCCTACCCCTCAAACAAAGATTTTCCTAGATATTTTCGTTTACATGGTTTGATCTGAGTAGATCTTTATTATTTGATAAAATCTAGGTGGCTGTGATATGTCTGACGTTACTTCAACATAGCTGTCTAATTACTCCAACTTTAACAACTAGTTATCATTTTGTGTCAGTTAAAAAAAAATCTCAGAAATTTGCCAAAAATGCAAACTTATGCATCAGGAGATCCTTTTGAAAAGACAATCATTTTATGCAGTTAACAAGAAAGGAAGTATATTGAGCATTTGATTTCATTTAGCTAATTTTTGTCGCATATTTATCGGTTTATATCTACATAGTTTAAATTCTGTAATAATTAAAATATGTTTTAAACGTGTATTTTTTTATTACCTTTGAGTATTTTACTCTAAAATCTTTAATTTTTGTTAAATTAACAAAGGGTATATCACACAGCCACCTAGATTTTTTCAAATAATAAAGATTTACTGGCGCAAAATCATAAAAATTAAAATATCTGGGAAAATCTTTGTCTGAGGGGTAGGCAACCTTAATAATATTTTGGAGATATATAAATTCCCCATTGAACACCGGAAAAATATACTGGGTGTTCTATTTAAGATAAAGGAGTAACTTGCTTTTAAAAGTGACTAATGTTCCATATTAATTTTGTCTCGTCCTGTATAACAGTTCGGGTCAAATTTCAATTTGGTTTAACATAAAATGGTTACTGTAATTAAATATCAGGCTATACAAGGTCAACTAAAATTTAGGTAGTTGTTATCGAAATTTAAAATTTACTCTTCATTTTCACTAAATGTGAAATATGTCAAAATCCTCAGATTTTAGGTATATGCTTCTTTAACAAAACTCACCTTTATTTCTTTCTTAGAATCCGAAAATCAATTAATATATAAAGTGTTCCATTAGAAAAAACAAAACTTTGATGTGTAACTTTTTTTGGGGACATCCTGTATAATTCCATATATTTTTATAAAATACTTTCAGTTAATCTACATATGCTGCCAAAATTTCATTTCGATATAAACTACCGTTCTCCTTGGAGCTTCCATGGCGTATGAGAGGTGCCACCCTGTATGATCTGGCTTGCCATAAGCTTCTCAAAAATATATATCACTCTATATTTATTTTCACTATTTACTGCAATATTAAAAAAAACTATTAAAAGATCATATTTATTAGTAGGCCATGACTAATAATAAAAGAAACTAAAGAATTATTAAAAATATACACTGCTATCTGTCTCTTGTTTTATTTTGAGGGCCACTAATAAATTCGTTATAATGTTAAGGAAACTTAACTCTCTACCGCTATTTGTAAATCTTGGAAGCTATCGTATCGGAACTTTTAAAAATTCCTTTAGCTAATTTACGTGAAATATACTTTCAGCAAGATGTGGCTTCCCCTCATAACTTAACTTACAATGAAAATATTAGATTTTTGTTAAATTATTATTTCTCAAATCAATGAATTGGAACCAATGGACCCATATGATGGCCTCCCTGATTCCCGGATTTGTCCTTTCTCGATTTCTGATTTTGGGGATTTTCGAAATATGAAATTATAAATAACAAAATGTCGAACACCTGGAAAATGCTATAATAATGCAAGCTTTTAAAAATTTGCAAACCCATCCTGTTATAATAAATTTCGTTATAAAAAAAAGAAAATTATATTCGGAGATTCAAAAGTAAAATATATCAATTCCAAATAAAATTTTAATATTTGTATGACAATTTTACTTTGAATAAGAAGACTAATGGTTGTCGCCCACTAGACCGCGGCGCGACGCGGCGCGGCGCCATGTGGAAATTTCTTTTGTCTGCTTGCCATGTATTTAAATGGACCAACGCACATTAGAGCGCGCAGCGCAGAAGCGCGCCGCGGGATTTCCGTCAAGAATTCGGAAGACTTCTCTAGCAACTTTTTTCCGTCTCCCGCGTTTCGGCGCGTTGCAGTGTGCGTACTCACAAGGGAAATAATTTTGCATTCGAGTTTTTTCAGTTGGCTTTTTGACTAGGAACTAGTGATATGTATCAATGGCAGAATTGTATTTTTAAAGGTAAATTAGGCAAATCGATTTTCATAAAGGAATATGATATTTTTTTTTAGTCTTCCCTCACTAGACAGATGGACGAAATGCCTTTCTATCAAAGATTTAATATAATTGAGGGGTGTAGAGGCAAAACTGGCAATCTCCACTTTTTAACAAAAGTGACAATCTCCAATTTTAAATTCTAATTACCTAAATATATAAAAGATCAGGGTTTTTTTGACCAGATAACTAATATACACATCAGAATAAATAAGAATTATCAAAAATATTAGTTATTTGTCTCTTCTGAAAAAATATGAAGAGTAGATATACCCGGTGTTTTTTCTTCTAAAACCCTCAATTGAGGAGTCCGTAAAATGTTTCCTTTATATTTTGTAATACTGAAAAAAATGATTTTGTCTTTTATTAAATCTGGAAAAAGATAGTAAAATTCTCCAAACTTCTTTCTTTTTTTGTTAATCGTATGAGTCCAAACTTTTCCTCACCCCCTCTTCCTCTGTTAGAAGAGCACAAAAATACGCTTTCGTCCGTACTTGAACTCATTGCTTTAAAAACTAAACTACAGTAAGTAAAAAACACTTCGACTATAACTAAATAGCGTTGCCGCGTTTCAAAAGCGCGCTATAGTGGGCGCAGTCCCATCGCAGCCGGAAAAAATTCTCTTCCCAGCGCCGCGCCGCGCAGCGGTCTAGTGGGCGACAACCTTAAGGAAGGAGCATAATGCTATCCATGTATTCATGCATGGTGGGCGGAAAAAGCACTCTAGGGTGGGGATCCTTGATGTTTGAGGATTCATTTGACACATTTGAATTTGATTTGAAATTTTGTGGATTTGTCAGTCTTTACGGAGCTTATTTTATGTTGTTTTTTATTCTACTACTGATAGTTGTATAAAGGTAGTAAATCTAGATGGAAATTGTGGCAGAACTTAAATTAACAGTGACACTATCGCGATTTATCGAAAAAGACTCTAAAATAGTTGGTTGTGTAGCGTGCGGTAGATCTCGGCAAAAATTGAGTGAAATAATGGAACAACTTTTCGCTAGTAAGTGACTATATAATATACATACGTGTAGTAAACCGATCATTTATGAAATTCACTTAAATTAACTAAATTATATATTTTTCTTGCATTTTAGCTTTTATTTACTACTTGTCAAAGATCAGGTGTCAAAGAATTTTGATACGTTAATTTGACTTACCTTCTTCAGTAGCGTATCGGATGTTTGTGTTAATAAATGCTTATTATAACTTATCTATTTTTATTAGAATTATATATTTTAATAACTACCAACATTTATTCACAACGTAAAATAAAACAACAAATTATTGAGTCTACCCCACGTCTACCCTACATCATAGTTTTACATTTTTTAAATAAAATTAGAAGGGCACTGATAAACCGGAATTTAAGTCGGCCATATTTGAGGCCCATCGCGGTGTACCTAAGATTTTTGATATGCTCCTTCCTTAGTCTTCTTATTCAAAGCAATTTTAGTAAATACCATTTTGATTGTTTTTATTTATGACGGCCTACTAATAAGAAAATGATTTTTAAATATTGCAGTAAATAATGAAAATAAATAGAGAGTGATAGTTATTTTTGAGAAGCTTACAGCCAGGCGGATCATACGATTTATAAATATACAGGGTGTTCCATTTGAAAAAACATAATTTTAGTTCATATTTTCAAAAATACTGTTTTCGTAGGAAAACAGATTACGCCACTGTATTCTACGTAAAAAGTTCTACAAGAATCAGTTTTCACCTTCTCGATATAATCCACAATAACGGAGATACGAAGGCTGTCCCAATTTGCAAAGTTTTCGAAAAGACCCTGTATCTCAGAAAGGAAGAGGGCTATGAAATTTTTGTTTACAGCATCTTTCGTTTGACAAAAAAGTGCGGCCTCCTATCTTTACTAATAACGGAGATACCATATGATTTCAACCAAAATGGACACCCTGTATATCGAAGAATTATCTGAATATGATCATCTTGATATTAAAAAGTTCCCTTCATTTTAAAACATTATATGGTTAATGTTTAAGTACTTACCTTGCGTATTTCTAATTGCAATGACTCTGAGTTTCCATTTTGTTCCGCCCCATCATCACCACTGATATTAGATGACACCAATTTCCAATTTAAATCTTCCTCACTACTCTCATGCCGATCTTTAAGACAAATAATAATATTTATGCAACAATAAATATAAAATATCCATAGTAAGTAACACGACAGAGTTAACAGATTTCATTTTATTAATAAACTGTAAATTTATTACAAAAAAACACAAATAAATTTATTTAAATTGGTACACAGAACTAACCCTTATCATATTTTTTTCTATAACAAGGCTACTGATGTTATAAACAAGTGTTTGAATAAACAATATCTATCTGTCATTTAGAAAAAAATCAAAAGTTTTCAGACACACGCACACGTCAGCTTTCAAAAAATAGTTTTTACTGAATAGATTTCTCTGTGAATGATTAAATTTAATACTTTTTCCAAATAAAAGTTTCATTTTAATGCCAATTTTTAATAAATATCATTATAGAGATTTCCCGACAAAATTAATTATCATCGATTGTAATTTAAAAAGATACTTTGACGCCGGTTTTTGAAATAACAATCAATGATATTAACGCCAAAATAAATGGACGAATTTAGAAATCGCTTTGTTTCCTTTGGTGTAATTTTCTAACAGCTAAATATCGTTTTCAATGCAACCTAATATATTTTTAAAACTCCTACCCTCTGGGTTAGTAAAGTTTATCCAGCGTGTCAGGTAATGTTTGGACAGAAAACATCCAAAAAATGACAGAAAAAATACAATTTAATTGTAAATTATACAGTCACTGTCGTGTATCCTGTAGTTGGACAGACTATACAGGGTCACAAAAAAGTTCGTATAAATATATGTCCTAAAACACTTAGTTTTGGAGATACATGGTGTAGAAGTTTCATTTTTATTTCGATTTTTTCCAAATAATTTCTGAAGTAACGTCAATATTTGGATGAAAATTGGTGTCTGGGATTTTTGACATGAGGTATTTGATTTTGATGTCAATATGACTCCTACTAGTAGAGGGCGCCACCTACATATCTTATACCTGGTTTGAAGAGTAATAACTTTTCGTCCGTACCTGTATAAAACTACTGAGTAAAAAAATATATATTTACGACGTTTTTTACGTGAAAAAGGTCTCCTGGTAAAAATCGCTACGAGTTATGGTTTTCGGGATATTTGGAATCGAAATTATCAATACATGTCATCATTGACATAAATTAAGCATTAGTTATTAGACTGAAATCATAAATTTGAAATGGCTTTGTGCCAAAAGTTCAACAGAAACTGTTTTATCATCATTTTTTGCAGAAAAATTTATGATTAATTTAAAACATTAAAAATTTCCCAAATTTATTATTTCAGTAAAATAACTATCTACTCATCGTGTTTATTTTTCTTCAATAATGACATGTATTGTCTATTTCCATTCTAAATATCTTAAAAACGGTTGCTCATAGCGATTTTTACAAAGATTTTAGTAAATACAGAATATGACTTTTGACGAAACAAAAACATGTTTCACTTAAAAATCTTCTTCACTAACGAAATAAGGTGCACTAAGTGTTGAAAACATTTTGTTAACTCTCGGGTATTCATACTACACTGAACTGACCGTTTTAAATGAAAAAGGAAATCCAAAGTGTTATCGGATTCGAGTCAGCTAAAACCACAATCTTGTTCGAGTCTGATATCAGTGTTAATAGACATTTTCTTATTTCCGTTCCCACACTAATTTCAGTGGCGATATAAAATAAACTAACACACATTACTATAAAAATGAATTAACATTTTAGTAAGTTCTTGTTTAAACGTAAAATATCAATCCGAAGATAACAAATTCCCCAGCCATGCTATAAAAAAACTCAATATTCACATACCAACACAACAAAAAAATATGTATAAAATTTATTTGTAAATTTTTAATAAATAACATTAAAAAATATAAGGACTGCGCGTACAGACGCCAATAATAGTAGAGGAACCGAAGCGAGAATTTTAGGATTTACTAATACGCCAGGGCAGTTAGCAAAAATAGGGGAAGTTTTTGCAATCAAGCTGATTTTTCCACAGATTATAGTACTCATTAACAGTACTCTGTAAAAAAAAGTTACACCTCCTAGAGCGCTTGCTTCCTCCGCCATGTTGAATTAAAGATGGCGTCTGATCCTATTCCTTAAAAAAAACATAACTTTCTTATTTATTAACCGATTTTCGTCAAGTAAAAATCATTCACCCCTATATCAAAATTCTGGAAAAAGTACCAGGAATTGAAATCTTAAAAAATATATAGGGTGTTTTCTTTAAAAAAACTGAAGTTTGGTCTTTAGCACTTTTCTGACACACCCCGTATAATTAAAAATATTTTAACAAGAAGCAATTCATTATTACTTATAACTTTTGTATTCGCGTTATTTTACAATTCTAAATAGCAAACGAGATACTAGACTTTATCGCACTAATTGAACATCCTGTATATAAAATAGGAAGGTAAAAATGTAAAAAATCTTTTTGATGAGTGTAATTTTACATAAAAACATTATACATAACAATTATTTCCTTTATTTCAAAAACAAAATTAAGTGTCCCCGTAATTTTTTCATTTAGACCACTGTGAAACGGTGCAAGTGGGCATTAAATCTTTTAATAGATTTAAGTCTTTTTAGAAAAGATTTAAGTCAGTAAAAAAGATTTAAAACTTTTTTAATGACTTAAGTCTTTTACAAAAGACTTAAATCTTTTAGAAGATTTAAATCTTTTATGAGATTTAAGTCTTTTTAGAAAAGATTTAAGTCAGTAAAAAAGATTAAAAACTTTTTAATGACTTAAGTCTTTTACAAAAGACTTAAATCTTTTAGAAGATTTAAATCTTTTATGAGATTTAAGTCTTTTTAGAAAAGATTTAAGTCAGTAAAAAAGATTTAAATCTTTTTTTAATGACTTAAGTCGTTTTACAAAAAACTTAAATCTTTTAAAAGATTTAAGTCTTATATGAGATTTAAGTCTTTACAAAAATGACTTGACTTGAAAGAAAATGACTTAAGTCAAAGACTTAAAACTTAAGTCTCATTTTAACTTTATATTAAGATTGACTCAAAACGTAAGTCTTTATAAAACTGACTTGTTGCAGCTCTGGCGCGGCAGTATAACATAAAGAGAGAAACCTTGCACCCTGTTAAGTACACCCACCATACATGAACCATTTATACAGGGTCGTTCGTGTAGGGCAGCCGATCAGAGTAGGGAAAAAATGATCAATACAAAGATTCAAACGCGTCAGATTAAGGCAGGATGAGTTAATTACATGTAGAAAAGTGTGCATTTAAATAAGCTGACGATTTAGACGTGACATAAGGAAATGGGACAGTCACACAGTTAAAAAAAACGTCACCTGAACATTCCAGAGCGTGGTTATTTTTTTTATTTTGAAGAAAATCAGAAGCGTATCAGAAGTGAGACACTTGGGTAAAAATTTGGTTGAAATTTTTGGTTGAAATTTGTAAATTCAACTGAAATACACCAAGCTCATAGATTAGTACACCAAATTGCCTATCCATATTTTGTTAATCAAACGCACACACCATGTAATTATATAATATTAATATTAACATCTGTTGTTAATTCCAAATTTATCGAACTACTTCCCCTTATTAAGCTTCGTTTACACATAACGTTTTACCTGTCAGACTTATTTGTTCGGTCAAAACGTATCAAGTAAAACCTTTTTTTGTCGACGAAAAAAACGGACGCGCTATCTAAAAAAATAAAAAAGTTATAGGAGTAAGCCACTTTTGAGACGCACCCGGTATTAGATAAAACTGCAGGTAAAACTTCCAGTGTATATATGCTACAGAGAAAGTCGGAAATTCAGTGATTGTTAACATTCACTAGGAAATGGTAACAATTACGCATTGGACCAGCGAATGTGGTATTTTAAAGAGATTTTTCAATTTTCCTCAGTGGCGGATACAGAGGGGGAGCCTATGGAGCCCGGGCCCCCCCTAAGATCTACAGATTGGGTTAAACATTAGCCTTTTGGGTTAAAATTGGCGCACAAATAAGCATATTCTACATTACTTTTTTATTTGGATCCCCCTAAAATAAATTTCTGTATCCGCCCCTGCTTTTCCTTATAATTTCTAACATCACTATAGTGAAAGTAAAAAGATATTAAAGGTTGCCAGTAAAAGATATTTTATTGTACAGAGCGAGTGTGGTGAGGAAGAATGTCGGCGGAAGTTAGAACAAATAAAACTTTTAAGAATATTAGATCACCTAAATATTCAAGGTGATTCACATATCTTAAAATTATAATTTACTTCTTTAGTATTTATTGAAAATATAGAAAATAACGACAGAACCTTCTAAATATTAAAAGGGAAAATATAGTAAACATTTTAAAGCGTGTAAAACAATTAAAAAAAAAACATTCATAAACATAAGATTATTTGTTGGTATAAGGCTTTTTTTATTAAACTTCTTCATCGTGGACAAAATAGAGTATGCCCGAATTTTCTTCAACCTCGGGAGTTATTCGTTTTTTCAAATCGCTACTTTAAACATATCAAAACGTTTAATAAGTTCATAGTCACTAGGTTCCTTAATATCTTTTTCTCTTGCACGCTTAACTTTTGCTATGACTTCATTATATTGCAAAAATGAAAAACAAGCACTATTACATTCTTGCGAGTGCTTAGTTTACCTTAATTTTTCACAGAAAATTTCTTCCATAGGGAAAATACCGCACAGCACTTTCAACAACGATAACAAAACAATTATAGATAACAACAAAAAAAAACCTAAAAAAGTAAAGCGAATTTACGCCAGATGTTTGTCAACGTTGCCAACGTTTAGCCTAATTTAATGTTATCCTTATATTGCCGCGTATTATTCAACTTATCCTTATTTATCCTTATATTTTATAACATGTGGTAACCACGTTAACTATCGTCCAGGGAATGTTAGCATTCACTAGTAAAAGTTGGTTTAAGAATAGCTGTTGAACTTTTACCGGCGTAGTCTTAGTAAATCAGTGAATGTGAGCTTTTACCGGTAATTGTTAACAATCAGTGATTTCCAAATTTTACTGTAACATGTACGCTAGATTTCAGTCGTTATATTTTATATCTAGACGGTGATAAGACGGCAGCACTGTAGTTAGTTCTCTAGTTGGCCATCCGTTTTAACTGACAGGTGAAACTTCATGTGTAGTCGGAGCTTTAAATTGCAAAAATGCAATAGTGACGACCCAAAACAATGCTTACCTTTGTCGAAACCGTTTGTAGAAAATACCGGTGAAGTTTCGTCCGGAGAAGAAGGCGAAAATGGCGTAGTAGTATTTTTGAGCAAGACCATTTTTCGAATCGCAGAAGATTTAACTTGGGAGCCGCATTGGTGGTGTACGTTACTAGGGCTATGACATGGACAACCGCAATTTTCATAGGGCGAAGTTACAGATGACGGGGGTGCATTAGAAATATTAGAATTACCTAGACCTGACGATAAGCTTCCAGATATCGATAATTTGTTCTTCAAGACCTTTTCGAGGGTTACTTTGTTTTCGCTTAGAATCTGAAACAAAAAGTAGATTTTCTTACAATGGGGAAATACCCATAGGATTTTTTTGATAAAGTTATTTGTTAAGAACTTCAAAGTAATAAATCAATAGAGTAGACGCACAAATCAATTAACAAGTATACAGGGTGTTTCAAAACAAATGCGAAAAACTTTAGGGGGTGATTCCTTGTTCAAAATAAAGGATAGTTTGCTTTATAAACGTTGGGTCAAAAGTCATCCATTAGGGAGATATCGCGGTACAAAGATGGCGGAAAAATAATGTTTTTATTTTTTATCTTGAAAACGAAAAGAGATAGACTAATGAAATTTTATGGAAGCATTACTGTTATGAAAACACACTTTCAGGTAATTTTTTTACTTTTTTAAAATGAGTGGAAAGGGTTGAAATAAACTACCCGTATCATTCTTGTTAACGAAATTTAAAGAAAAATCTTATCAAACACACGCAAATGCTTTAATTTGGATAGTTTAGTTTGTTTAGAAACTTTTTTACCTCTTGTGTTTTTGATGATAAACTCACCGATTGGAAATTAAAAATAAAATGTAAAGCATTACATGACAGGACAAAAAACATTTTTAGATTAACAATCTAGTGATAATAACGATAATAATAATCATCTAGATAATAACGTATTGCAGTAGAGTAATGGCAAATAAAATAATATTAGGAACATCCTAAAAAGTAACAGCGGCCGACTAAATTTTTTCCTAAAAAAATTACAGCAGCCCACTAGATTCTTTATCAGAAAATGTTTATTGTCCTGACATGTAATGCTTTACATTTTATTTTTTAATTTCAAATCGGTGAGTTTTATCAAAAAAATACAAGAGATAAAAAAGTTTCTAAACAAACTAAACTATCCAAATTAATTTTTTTGCATGTGTTTGATAAGATTTTTCTTTAAATTTCGTTAACAAGAATGATAGGGGTAGTTTATTTCAACCCCTTCCACTCGTTTTAAAAAAGTTAAAAAATTACCAGAAAGTGTGTTTTCATAACAGTAATGCTTCCATAAAATTTCATTAGTCTATCTCTTTTCGTTTTCAAGATAAAAAATAAAAACATTATTTTTCCGCCATCTTTGTACCGCAATATCTCCCTAATGGTTGACTTTTGACCCAACGTTTATGAAGCAAACTACCCTTTATTTTGAACAAGGAATCACCCCCTGAAGTTTTTCGCATTTGTTTTGAAACACCCTGTATATCCCATAATTTGCAAAACTAAGTACCTAGTTTTACACTTTCGTTTTTCACTTTATACAGGGTTGTTCACCACATACGACACGAAGTATTCTATCTAAATGATTAGATTTTTACAAATTGTAAGTTTTGGATTCAATGAAGGACTATTAGAGGTACAATTTAAAAATAATTTTACAAGATACAGAGTGTCCCAAATAAGCAAAAAATTTTATAGTTGTATTTTTTAAATGGAACACCCTGTATATTATTCTATTTTTAGATTCTACGGTTTAAATAAAGGTAAATTTGATTAAAGTTTATCACACTTAAACCTTACCGTTTTCGAAATATTTTCAATTTTGTGAAATTGCAGTAACAAATTTAAGGCTTCATTTCTCCAAGGTTATTAAAGGTTTTAGTACTAAATATTTACCGAAGATTATTTATTGATCAGATGTAGTGTTGCAATACTAAACCAAACCAAATCAAATAATTACTAGCTTTAAACGGCAATAACTTGTTTAATTTAAAGGGAACACCCTATATATTTTACGAGAATCAGATGCACAATTTAATTGTCTATCAAAATGTATTATATCATTTTTTACCTATCTCTTCAAGTTTTCGTAGAAAATGCATTTTCTTATAATTTAGACCTCATTTATCACTATACCTATGGAATATTGACATTTTAGTTTTTTTAAAGCAACATAATATGTAAAAAATGTACAGGTGGTAAAAATAATAATGTTGCAAGTCTATTTGTTTACCTATTTAAATCTTTGTAAAAGAGTATACCAATTATTACTATTATTATTAATATACCACCATTATTTCCGTCCAAAAATTAATTAATTACATACTTAATTGTTTTAATTAATGATTTTTTTCTAAATAAATGTGGATCAATACAATAATAAGTTATGAAAATATACGTCTCTGTTGTTGTAAATAAGCATTTGTCAAAAAATGAAATAAAATTTATAAGGTGTTACTTTTTACCACACGGTCTAATACACATACAAAATTCAATTTTTAGTATTTGGAGCAATTATTATTATTAATCAATGTAAATGGCCAATTAATGTAGTTTGAATACTGGGATCATATTAATTGGTCCTCTTCAACAAAAAATATTTAAACAATTTTTTATCTTTTAATGAAATAAGCGAACTACATCTCAATATTAGTATCTGTACTTTTTGAAAATGTGTTACATCTTTAAAAATAATCTAAGATGTCAATATTCCATGGGTATAGTGATAAATGAGGTCTAAATTCTAAGAAAATGCATTTTCTACGAAAACTTGAAGAGGTATGTAAAATATGGTGTAATACAATTTGACAGACAATTAAATTGTGCATCTGATTCTCCTAAAATATATAGGGTGTTCCATTTAAATTAAACAACTTATTGCCGTTTAAAGCTAGTAATTTTTTAATATAAATTTTTAAACACTCTGTATAAGGTGGTAGTATTGTTATTATTGCAAAACAATATCTGCTCAATAAATAAACTTTAGTGAATATTTAGTACCTATTAAAAACTTCAATACCCTTTGAGAAATGAAGCCTTAAAATTTTTAGCGCAATTTCATAAAATTGAAAATATTTCAAAAACGGTAAGGTTTAAGTGTGATAAACCTTAATGAAATTTACCTTTATTTCAATCGTAGAATATAAAAATAGAATAATATACAGGGTGTTCCATCTAAAAAATGCAACTATAATAATTTTTACCTATTTGGGACACTGTATCTTGTAGAAATATTTTTAAATTCTACCTCTAATAGTCCTTCAACGAAACCAAAACTTAAAATTTGTAAAAATCTAATCGTTTAGCTACAATATTCCGTGTCGTATGTGGTGAACAACCCTGTATATTGTTAACTGTTCAATATCAATATTAGGAAATAATTTTACTTAATTTGACAATAACAATTTTACTATTTGATTGTATTCTTGGTAGGGGTATATTGTATATTATAAAGTTAATATTACCTCAATTCGTTGTTTCAATTGATCAATAGTATCCCTCTGTTCGGCATATTGTTCATTTAGCTCATCGTAAACCTTTTGGATTACAGAAACTTGTTCTTCCTTAGATTCCAAATTGGCCCTAACATTAGCTATCTCCCTCAAGCACTCTTGATTTTGTTTGGTCAGTATCCCGTTATTTTTTTCCAACTCGGCTTTCTAAAAAAAACGTATATAAAATTTTTAGTTCGTTAAATTCGCAGTTAGAGTTAGTTACCTCTTCCTCAACTTCACTAATTTGACTTTTAAAATATAGATTGTCTTTTTCTGACTGCAACAGGTTCTTTTTTAAGGTGTCGATCGTCTCTTTTAGAGTGTTTACTTCTTCTTTCAGTTCTTCACTGTTTTTTCTGTCAATTTCTTTCTGCAAATCTTCGTTAATTTGTTGCTCGCTGCAAAAATTCGTAATATATGTATGTATAATTATACAAGATATCCGTTAAAAAGAGATTCCATAATAGAGAGTATGCGTTCGTCTCCTTCATTTGAAGAAAATGTAATAAAAGTTTTCTTAAATATGCATACTAGAAGAATTGATCTTAATTTTAAAATTTAGAATCTAACAGATACGTTCACAGCTTTGTTTTTTAGCTAAATTTAGTTCTTTTTTTAAATTGGTTTGATTATTTTTTTAACCTGTTACATTTTTTGTATTTTTATTTTTGCAACTTCAAAATTAAAGACTTTAATAAAAAAGACGAAAAAAACTTTATTTGTAAAATGATTGAAAAATGTTGGTAAAATGTTAATTGCAGTTATTTATTACATCCTCTTGTATTCATGCCACGCTACGCCACTGGCCTCTAAAAGATTATTCGCTTATGCAAAGTAAACCTGATGTAAATATGACAAATATCTTGTTATGTTGATCTAATAAGAACTATATCTATCTAAGGACAACGGCCCAGCTACGTCGAAACACCGGTTCCCATTAGAACACCGAAGTTAAGCGACGTAAGGCGATACTAGTGGATGGACGGGTGACCGGTTCGAAACTCTGTATCGTGCTGTTGTCCAAAAAAAGGCAAAAGTGTAAAATTTATTGACACACACTGCTCATTCTACGTAGTTATGGCTACGCTCACACGGACCACTTTCCAACGACAAAACGGTGTTTAGTCTATCGCAGCTGTGGTCGCAGCTATCGACGACGTTACAACCACAACTGCGCGACAAAAATGTCGTCCAGAAGTCGCCCGTGTGAGTTGATGGACGACAGCCGAACCACAACTAAATTTTTGATTCAGTCAAAAAGCACTGTTGTGGCTTTTGCTTGGAAAAAGAAGGCGAAACGTCGCTGTAAAGTCGTCCGTGTGAGTGTACCCTAAGAGTCGATTTAGGGTACACTCACACGGACGACTTATGTCAAAATTTTTAAAACGGCAACTTAAGTTTAAAATAATTTTTTATTTTCCAAAATCTTGTTTTTATTACCTAGGTGCGAACCAGAATATCCAAAAACCCAAATTGCCGTTTTTTAAATTTTGCTATGAAAATTTAGATTAAAATTTTAGCGATTTGGTCGTGTATGAAAATGGTTTTTATTTTTTTACGCGTAAACGGTGCGTCGCACGGTGGGACCGATTGAAGAATCGTTGGCCAAAACCTTCAAAGATATATGGATCAACCAAAAATATATAGAATTTAACAGTTTTTGCTTAATTGAATTTCTAGGTAGTCAATCTTCAAAATTTTAGTTAATTAAATTATACTTCACGTATATACCCAGCATATTAGCTCATCAATATAATGTGAGAAAAAATACCCGGATGACAAAACTTTTACACTTTTGCCTTGCAAGCCATTTCGAATATTGTTGTTTTGTGGCATGTCTGTGTGTCTGTCTGTCTGTTTATCGGTCTGTTTGATATATTTTTTTATCCGTATGTAACCAACAACTTTGATAAAAAAATAAATATTGTTTTTGGATTCTAGTTTTGAAGAAGTAAAAAAATAATTATTTTCAATCGTGGTCTCACATGTCTCAAAATGAGTAGTCGGCACGTAATCAAAAAAGTATGGGCTAGATTTTTCGAGTACCTATTACAGGCAAGCATCTAAAAATTAATTTTAATAACCATTTCTGGGGAAGGGTGGTTTTGGGTGCCGGAATTTTTTTTTCTCCTTCTATTTTTGGATTAGAGCAACTAAAAGATTTGAAATTCAGGGTAATGTAATGTGTTAGGTTAGGTTAGTTAAAAATAATTTGTTTAAATGCTTAAATTTTTAAAATCGGTTCATTATTTTAGTACATATCATAGTTTGAATTTACGTGCGGATATTTTAATAAGTTAAGCCGCCATCTTGAAATTTTAAACTGTCATATTTAGACTACATACTGCTTATGTCATACTACTACATATTGCCTTACTTCAAATCTCCATGTTGTTTCATTAAAAAGATAAAAAAGAAGTGGGGAGTTGTATGTTATCTAAGCCTCGATCTAAGCATTAATTCAGTTAAAACCCACAAAATTTGTAGATTTCAGGTGGGGTGGGACTGAATGGTCTAGGACCCTTGGACCCCCTAACTATGTGCTTGATTACAGGCGATTCATGAGTATCAGATTTTATTAAAATCACACGAACTTAATCTAAATAAATCATAAAGACCTATAGTATCTATTACTGAAAGTATACCAGGGACATACTTACATTTAAAAATATTTTTGTTAAAGTTGCGCAAAGTTGCGCAAGATGGTAACAAATACATGAAGGGTAATGTCCAATCTTTCAAAAAACATCAGCTAATAAATTGGGCAACTTTGGGCACTCAACAAAACTCAAGGTTAAATAGCATATTTTATTTTTTATATTATACTAATTTATTAATTAATTTAGTATGCATCAGTGAAAAAGTTTTTTTTCAAAATATAGCTAGAAATAGTCAAGTAGTATTGTACTTTTATAAAAAATGCAAAAAATTAATTGTATTTAAAAATTAACCAAGAAATTTTATTTCTGTGCATAATATAATATTTAGGTCTTTTCTGTATTCTATGGTCATCAAAACTTTTTGAAAAAGCAACTTCTGTTTTATAAGGTTCTGGCCGCAAAAATGGCAATCAATGGCACTGTGCGTCGTACCAAAAAAAGTCAAGAGATCAAATTTGTTCCAAATTTAATGTAGATTTAAAAATAATTTTTATTTAAAAAAAACAGTGGCGTACCATTTTTTTCTTCCATAATATTTAGTTTAAATACCGTAGGGGCGCCACTGATGAAAATAAAAAAAAGGTAATAGCATCAAAAAATGTCATTTTATGGTAAAACAACGTGTACCAAATTTAGTGATTTTCGTCCAACAGGGCCCTGAGATATTAAAAAAAACTCTTTTTAGGGGCGAAATTCAGGGGGCTGGAAATCCGAAAAGGGGGGCCACTGGCCAAAAAATAAAAAATACGGGTCACCTATATTTTTTTTTCAAGAATCTATGACCAAATTTTGTTGCATTAATTTCCGGACACCCTGTATATGGTACATAATAAAAATTGTAAACCACTAGGTATACTTACCAATGTAGTTTTTTATTTAATCTGTCAAAATTTTGTTGTAATACATCATTTTGTTCTTCAGAAGCTGTTAATTGCTGCTTCGTGATTGTCAGTTCGTTTGTTAGTTTCAATAATTGACGTTCCAATCTTTTCACCTCTTCCTCTAGAGCGGTTTTTTCAATATCAGCTATAAAAAAGATTGTATTTTTATTGGCAAATGTTTTATATTAACGCATATTAATGCTGAAATAGAACTCGTCTTACTATGATTTGTTGTATCTAGCCTACTAGTGGACAAACTATAACCAGACATGTTGGACAAATTAAGGAGGTCTTTGCATTTTAATAGTTTGTCACCTAAACTGGTCCTAGGTGTAGAATGAGTGTAAGGTAATTGAGTATCATCAATTGCAATTATGGGACTAAAACATTAAATGCTAAAGCGATACAATAATAAAGCATTTACAACGCAATACTTAGAAGGGTAAAAATCATCAGGCGGTGATCCTGCTGCAATTTTTCGACTCCACTGGTTAATCACATCGTAAAATCTTTCACTAGTAACAACAATATCTTTATTTTCTGGATCTAATGATTTTTTCAACTCTTCCAATGCATTTCTAAAATAAAATTTTAACTAAAAAGCTCTATTACGATTTTCACTCGAGTTTTTGATAAAATATGCGAACAACGGTAGCGTAAATATGTTTGTCAGTATACAGGGTGGTTGAAACATTATTTTAGAGTTTTATATTTTTACTAAAATTTGCAATTATGTTGGACGTATACAGGGTCCGGGAATAGCGCGTTTGGCATCTGTAGCTCCTAAAATAAAAAACTGAGGAATTTTGTTTAAGTACAGGGCGTCTTAGATATTAATACATCTGGTATTATGGTATATCGTATATCGTCGATTTTAAAATAAACTAACTCTTTCTATCTTATTTTTTATTAGAATGGGCATAATCAGAGGGCTACTGATACCGTGTTGTAAAAATAAGGTAATTAAGGGCTTATTTTTTGGTATTTATTATAATTTTACTAATATCTTCGGTTTGAAAGAAGATATCAAGATGCGGTTTTCGCTGTCAGCTAAAATTACATATACTATCGTATTTAATTTTTTTGAAAAAAACGCGCAATGTTTGTTAAATTGTAAGACAGCGCCCCCTAGCGTCTACGTTCAAAAGCTTATTATTATTATTATTATGGTACAATATAGAGTAAGGAACGCTCTTTTAAACGAGCCCTCGTTTGTTGAATTCCGATCATCCAGTCCAGAGTTATTAACATTTAAATAAAAACAGATATAACCTTCCCCCACCACTTTATTTTAGCAGATAGAGGAAAATGGTTCTAACAAAAAAAATCCAAAATTTACTGAAGATTATAAAGCTATTATTTATAGTACCCATTATCTAGTCAAAATTCTGTAAAAATTCTATTTTCTTATTTTCCACAGCTGTTGCGCCCTCTAGCGGCCGTTTTACAAACTTGAAAATAATTTCCAGCAATTTCTCATAGCCCCTTTAATTATAAATATTTTTTTCCATAGGCCTTACGGTTAATAGTTTCCGAGATACAGCCGAGAGCTCTTCTTAGTGGGACACCCTGTACAATCCTAAAGTACATATGTATTAGGATGCATTTCAGGAAATATTTTAACTTCTACAGGGTGGTTCAAAAAAAATGAGTGGATCGGAATGATTTTTTTTAAATGGAACACCCTGTATTGCAATTTTGGCTTCCTTTCTGATGACTTCACCTTTACACCATCCTAAGATATTATTAAATATCTTTTGATACTTTCAGAAATATTAATAAATAAATAATAAAAAAAATATTTTTCGGCCTTTTTTTAAAAAATATATTAAAAATACAAGAAATGTCCTGAAATCAAAACTATACTATTTTAGGAATTTACTATAATTGTTCTGTACTTAGTGTGCTATAAATGTAATCTTACAATACAGGCTGTTAAAAATTCTATGCCAAACTTTTTAAATAGAAAATAATTTTTCTACGATTTTTTTAAGTAAATGAAACACTTTCTATATTATATCTTTATTAGTGGGAGAAATAAAAAAACACATTGTTTGTATTTAAAGTACATATTTTAAAATTTTTAGCGGTTTCCCAAATTTATTGCATTTTTGTTTTTATTTCAAAGAACTGTTGAACAACCTATATGTAATAATATAATTACGAATATCCGCAAATCCGTTAAAATTTTTAAAATACTTTAAATACAAAAAATGTTGATCTTTTAAATCTCTATCTAACAGAGGAATAATACACAGAGTGTTATGAAAAACTATTTCATATTTATGAAGTTTAGCATAGAATTTTAAACACCCTCTGTAGTTTAAGATTACGATATTTATAGGAAAGTAAGTACAGACCAGCTATAGTAAATACCTAGTATTGTTTTGACTTCAGGACATTTCTTATATTTTTAATATTTTTTTAAAAAAATTGATTTTTTTATTAAATTATTAATACTGATCTCTGAATCTTAAAAAAAACCAATTTTAGTGAGGACGCAGTCAATAATCATCACATAGGCTAATAAAACTACTATTTCAATTTGTCAAGCTTTCGAGAAATGTATTCCCATTATCAGGACAGTTTCTAAAATGTATAAAAAGGGTATTAAAATTTTGCAGTTGTATAAAAAAACTTAGAATAAGTCAATTAACTCTTAGACTGTCAAAACATATTTAATAATATTTTAGGATTGTGTAAAGTGATCAGAAGGGAAGCTTAATACTCATACTTTTTTGAGCCACCCTGTGGAAGTTAAAATATAATTTCCTGCAATACATCCTATAATACTAAATTTAGCCAACTGGATGTCATTGCAGTTTTTCCATCATATGGTATAATATATTATAATGTTTCTCTAATATACCTAGTTTTGAAACAAACACAATTATAAAATATTTTCAATTAAAAAATATAAGTAATTTGGTATTTAATATTTTGGGAGAGCTTTATGTGCAAAAAATTTGTCCAATAATGGATATATTTCAAAAAACCCTTGTATAATATATTTTTGAAATGTTAATTTAATGGCAAATCCACTGCAATGAGCTAAAAAATATATAGCATTCAATTTAAAAATTACAATGTTAGTTTAAAAATATGTTTGAATCATCCTGTATACTTATTACCAAAAATATTTTTAGTATGGTTTACCACTGCAGGCATATTTTATAACAAAAATTGGGTGAACATTTCAAACCAGAAACATCTGTTATTGTTTTTTTTTCAGAGCATGAGTTAATTATTTAAAAAAAATATCCTGTTGGTTTTAAAAAACTAATTATTTTCAATCAGTGACTTACAAATCTTCTATCATAAACGGATGAATAAATTCTATCAACCTTGATACAGGAACTGAATCAGTACCATCAATATCACACGAACAATATATATTTCGAAAGACAGTTGCAACATCAATCGATCCTGCAAATGCAATTTAAGTAAACAATGTTTGTGTAAATTAAATATAAAAATATTTTTACGAATACCTTCTTCACTGGCATGCTCTTCATCATCGTCTTTTATATTCTCCATTTTCAGGACCTAATGTTAATACTGAATATAAAGTATTTGAGTAGGTATATCGTTTCTTATAAATCTTATAAAACAATTAAACTATTCACTTTAGTAACATTTTCATACATATCCTAGTTATATTTTAAAACTATATTTAAGTACAATATTTACACAATGTCCAATTTCGTAGTGATTAAACAAATTAACAAAAAAAGCAACGGGTTTTTTACCAAAATAAATCTTAACCACAGATCTTAACCTCTAACCTCTATCTGAATATGTGTTAAACTTGCTTTCTGATTGGTTGTTTTGAACTGAACAATGTCACATATTTAAACCGCAACTTTTAAATTAATAATTTTTAAATATGATTGTAATAAATACAAGATAGGTATTTAGGAATACTACTAAACGTTGTAATTACTAGAATTAGTTTCGTATTATTCTTCTATTCAAGTAGAAGATTAATTTTATATATCAAGTAATCCACTAGTAAAAAAATCAAATATTGATTACGGGATTGATATATTTAGGGATACCCAGAGGGATACCTATATTGGATATTCATCTTTTAAAACTACTTTTAATACCAAAATTTACATTTACAGTTGATATTTCAAATAAATGTTGGTCTGTTTATGTCATTTGGTCTGGCACTATTTTTGTTTTGTTGATAGGGGGGTACCAAAATTATTTATTTGAAGAAAATTGAAAAAAATTTCGAAAAAGGTGTGGATTCGGTGGCTGACCTTGAAGGGATTACTTGCTGCAAATAGTCACATATACTACACATGCGCACATCGACGATGTTGCCAGTTTGCAAGTTATGTTGGAATTATTTTCAGTAAAAAACAAATTATATTAAACTTGCAAAAGTAAAATTCAACGTTAGAAAAATCATTTGTGACTTATTTTGTGCCATAGAATATTTTTTTTGGTATTTTAAGTCTTTTTGGACAATAATATCAATAATTTCAACTTGTACAGCATGGATTTGCGTTTATATTACAAAAAAAATAAGATGTTAGTTTTTAACATAATCTATATACCCTAGTCTAAAAGTACCAATTTTTTACTGCATTTCTAAAACCTTTGAAAAAATAGCAGGTAAAAGAAAATCTAATACATCAAAAATTAACAAATGAAAAAAAATAAATATCTTTCCCTTAGACAAGGAAAGAGAGGGGACAGGTAACACCGCAGCTAAAAGTGAGGCAAGTTGTCACCACGCGAAATTCTCCAATGGCGTAGCATCAGAAATTAGCTTGTACCTAGACGGTGCAAAATATTTAGTAAAACGTAAACTAATATATCGTTCATTTTTGAGTAATGCATGTACAATTTTGTATTTTATAGTCTCACCTTTATAATATTAGAATATCTAAGTCGATAATGCAAAATTTATTTAACAGTCACAGTGGATTGATTATCAAGACAATTATTTTTTATTAACGTGTGTATAATGGATAATTAAATAAAAAATAATGTAATAACATATATTTTAAACGTGTATATACATATATACTGTATGATCGAAAAAAACGGCGTCTTGTTTGTTTGGACATGACAATTTCACAAATGAATATTAAAAATTACATTATTCATTGAATATTGAATCTGTAAGCAAGTGTGAAGAGAGATTGGCTAGATTCATTTATTATACCGTATAATCGAAAAAAAACGACGTCCAGTTGGCTTGTAAATTACGATCGATGACATTCCCCATATAATTCTACATATAAAATGACATAAAACTATACAAAAGACATCGAAAAAGACGGCGTCAGCGATGGCTATGAAATAAAGATCGCTGTCATTTTATATGAAAATTATATGGGGAATGTCGTCGATCGTCATTTACAAGCCAAAAGGATGTCGTTTTTTTTTGACCATACGGTATAATAATGAATCTGGCCATTACCCTTCACACTTGCGTACGGAGTCAATGAATATTGTAATTTTTAATATTTGTTACCTTCAATCATAAGAATATCCTATTTTTAAGAATATCCGAATTTATTCACACAAAAATAAAACAATTCTAGAAGCTTTGTGTTATTTTATTTATTTTTAAATGTTTATTAATTACTCACTGAAACTATTATTATACACTTAAATTAGCAAATTTTTTGAAAGAATATTTAAAAAGATATATGTATGTAGTAACAAGTAGCCCACCACAAGTTTGTCCACCCCCAACAAATCTTGGCAGGTAAATTTAAGTTTTATATAACTATACATATAGATTTTTTATCACTAGAATTTTTCATTTTTTATAGTTTACAATTATTTTACTTATTTGATAACAATACTTTATACATTTTTTTACATGTAAAATATATAAAAATATGTTTATTGCAGAAATTGTATTTCTCTGATTATAATTCCCTACGTCACTGGTGAAATCCGGTCTGTGTAGCAATATTTATAGTTTCAAACATTAATTATAATACAGGATATTGAAAATACTACTTGGAATTATTAAAAATAGTTTGGTTTGGATGTGGTACAAGACATATTAAAAGCATTTTACATATTTTTACTGCTATAATGAAAAAATGTACATTTTATGACCACATAACAAAAGTTGTGTATCGATTTTTACCTGTGAAATGTAATTCCAGCCACTTTTTTCTCGCTTCGGCCTTTGCAGCCATACTCTGAACATCTCACCATACTAAATAACACAGTTTAAAAATTTAAAACAAAACAGTTGTCACAAAAAGCATAAAAATTCGCTCGGTGTCACCTCGAAATCTTGTCACCAAAGTATGGCCGCCGATCGAATTTTGGCCTCACTATCCGATCACGGGAGAATATGCATGTTACCCGTCCCCTCTCTTTCCTTGTCTAAGATTTTTCCATTTTCCAAGATTTTCTTCACGTTATGGCGAAGGAATATATAATTAGAATCAGATTTCCGATAAATATTCCCTAGAAGTTTGATACAAAAAAGAAAAAAAGTATTAGTATTGATATAATGACTATAAAAATACAAATATAATTATAAACTAGATTTTTTTCTTATAATAATATTATAGTTTACCAAAATAAATCACAAATTTGCCACATATTTATACGTTTTTTTTTCATAAAATTTCTTACTTAGACATGCAATATATTTTATTTGTATACTTCAGTTTCAATGCAGATGATTTTATCTAAAAAATAAAAGAAACATATTTAAAAATCTAGAAAATTATGAAGCTGTAAGAAGATACTTTCTTACCTGTAGTTATCATCAACAGATTGTTCAACAAACACTATGGTGTAGCTTTCCTCACATATTTAGATAATCTCTTTGTTTGTAGTTGGGTTCATTGTTGTCTATTGTTGGCTATGCGAGCTCAAGTTATCCTTGCTAATTTCCTAATATGTCTCTTAATTCCTTGTGGGTATCATGTAATTTTTCTGGCCCATCTATTGTCCGTCCTTTTTGTCAGGTATCCTGCCTATTGCCACTTGAGGGATTTGACTTTTGAGGGTCTTTTGTCGTATCCACTCTATTCTTTTATGGGTTGTCTCGGTTATTCCCAGCATATTTCGTTCCATTGAGCGTTGTGCGACCTGCAGATTCCTTATAATGTTCGTTTTAATTGTCCAGGTTTCGCCTGCCTAGGTCATGACTGGTAGTTCACATTGGTCAAATGTTTTCTTCTTTAGATAAAGTGACATTCTGGATTTGAATTATAAGTACCCCATGCTAACTTAATTCTTCTGTTGATTTCTGGTGGTAGAGATCCCGAGCTCTGTATTAGTTGTCCGAAATATATTTAATCTTCTACTATTTCTAGTGTTCTGCTATTTATTAGAATATCTTTTCTGTCTACTAGTTCATTGTACAGGGTGTCCCACTAAGAATAGCTCTCGGCTGTATCTCGGAAAGTATTAGCCGTAGTGGCTGTGGAAAAAAATATTTATAACTAAAGAGGCTATAGGAAATTACTGGAAATTATTTTCAAGTTTATAGAACGACCGCTAGGGGGCGCAACTGCAACAAAAAATAATAAAATGGAGTTTTTACACAATTTTGCCTAGATAAGGTGTACTATAAGTAACAGCTTCATAATCTTCAGTAAATTTTGAATATTTTTTGTTAGAGTCATTTTCCCCTATCTACCAAAATAAAGTGGTGGGGGAAGGTTAGATCTGTTTTTATTTGAATATTAATAACTCTGGACTGGATGATCCGAATCCAACAAGCGAGGGCTCGTTTAAAAGAGCGTTTCATACTCTATATTGTACCATATAAACAATAATAATAAGCTTTTGAACGTAGACGCTAGGGGACGTTGTCTTATAATTTAACAAACATTGCGCGTTTTTTCAAAAAAATTAAATTCAATGGTATATGTAATTTCAGCTGATAGTAAAGAGCAGTAAAAGCTTAAAGAGTCAGCGAAAACCGTATCTTGATATCTTTTTTCAAACCGAAGATATTAGCAAAATTGTAATAAATACAAAAAAATAAGCCCTTAATTACCTTATTTTTACAACACGGTATCAGTAGCCCTCTTGATTATGCCCATTCTAACCTAAAAATAAGATAGAAACAGTTAGTTTATTTAAAATCGACGATATACCAGAATATCATAATATCAGATGTATTAATATCTAATAATTAAGATATTAATAATAGTGAACAAGAAACGATGATTCAGTGAAGTCATGGTTGGCTTTGGCAAAAAGTTGCTTTTGACGTAATAGTATAAACGTCAAATTGTTATTAGATCAACATTTTGATAGTCTTAGCAGCGTTTTTTTTATCTTTTGATTGCTTTTCAAAATGCCAACAACTTCAACTACTTTAAAAGCATTTAAACGATAAAAAAACGCTGCTAATAAGACTATCAAAATGTTGATCTAATAACAATTTGACGTTTATACTATTACGCGAAAAGCAACTTTTTTCCAAAGCCCACCATGACTTCACTGAATCATAGTTTCTTGTTCACTATTATCACAATTATTAATATCTTAAATATTAGATATTAATACATCTGGTATTATGGTATTCTGGTATTTCGTCGATTTTAAAATAAAATAACTGTTTCTATCTTATGTTTTTGTTAGAATGGGCCTAATCAAGAGGGCTACTGATACTGTATTGTAAAAATAAGGTAATTAAGGTCTTATTTTTTGGTATTTATTATAATTTTGCTAATATCTTCGGTTTGAAAGAAGATATCAAGATGCGGTTTTCGCTGACTTTTTAACCTTTTACTACTCTTTACTATCAGCTAAAATAACACATACTATCGTATTTAATTTTTT